GCGCTTGAGTGACCATCACCACGCTGGCGAACGAACTGGTTGAGAACTCTGGTGTTGATAGCTCCATAAACGGTTGGTTTGATAACATATTTGGTAAAATGGAAAACTATTGTTGTGACTATTCTGGGTGAAGTTATAGCTTCTATGGGTATACTTGTTCTTTGTGGATGTTGTCTTATTTCCTGTGTCTGAGGGTTGGTGAGAAAAGGAGATGGAGAAGGTGGTTTCCAAACAGATGGTGAGATACGGCCCAATCCCGGACTCCGACCTAAGGAATGAAGGATATGACCTACCAGGCTTGGTGGAGTGACACTCTAGAGGGTGTCTAAAGGGGGCCAAAATGTACTTCCCTGTTGGTGTTTTATGTTTTAATAATCTTATGTTTTGTGTTCTATTAATCCTGTGTTTTATGCTTTATTAATCAAGTTAACCATTGGGAATGTTTGTCTTTCCTTATGTGAAGGTTTGAAGTGCCTGGGTGACTTGTAGCCAACCGTTTGCAAGTTGGGTGTAGATGGAAGGACTGAAGGCCTTTTATTATCAAATTGTCTATTAATAAAAGTGTTTATTTTTGTTTGTATTGTATTTTAATGAGTGACACCCTAGAGGGCGTCAAAAGGGGGATTGTTGGGTTCTATTTTTCTCATAATTGGATCTGTATGTGATGAATAGCTTGGAAGGAATGCATTAATGAGGAGCATAGGTTTGAACTGTAGGCTGTGATTCATGTGGGGAACGTTAGGGGCTAGGATGAGATAAGACTTGTATTTCTCACAGATACGAACACTCTCTCTTTGTTGTCTGTGAAACCGTCCTTGAACATGGGTACATGGAGTACAGTGGAATGGTGTCTTTTGGGTGCTGACTCCACAGGTTATAATGATAGCAACTTATGCCTGGCAACAATGTGCAACAAATGGAGTGCCGAGGAGTTGGGACCAACCCCTGCACCAACGGATTGGCTGAGTGGAGTCTGGACCACACTCAGTCCTTTGCTCTGGTTGGCCAACAGAAGAGGTGGAGGCTTTCTGTCAGAGTATTTGAGAAAGAACTTAAAACAATGGATCAGTTCTCTGAGTGCCCTGCGTGGTATCTCAGCGGACCCGTATATACGAACCTTCATACTTATCATACATACATTTTGCATATAATAAATTAAGCTTGGATTGAAGATCTCTTGATTCTTATTCCAATACCAGATTTGAATTACGCAATTTCTAACACTAGCTAGCACAAATATATTGTATTTAGCTGCTACAGTACAGCTAGCTGGTCGTGTTGGCTAGCTAGCAATGGCTGCTGTGTTGACTTTGTTTGAATAACGGCGGCGCTGCGAACAAATGTAGCTGGCTAAAAGGATATTGTATTTAGTTGCTACCGTTGCTAATAGCTACTCGCCAGCTAGTCCAGGAGGTGAGTTAGCTAGCTAGCTAGCTTCGTGCTACACCCGGCACCGCCGAATACAATGCTAACCTACAATAACTACCCACAACAGCCCACGATGCCTACCTATAATACCTAATAATATACAGCCCACGATGCCTACCTATAATACCTAACTACAATCTAAATACATAGTTTAAGCCTTACTCGACAAAGCCCAAGCTATGTATAAAGCCAAACTTACCCGGTGGCAGACTGCAATCAGTAGCTGTAATTAAGTACAGTAGCTACCAACTACCTAACGTTAATGCCTCGGATAATGAGGTTAGAAAAACAGCTGAATGGTAGGTAGCTAGCTGGCTTAATTACAGGTACTCTTAAGCGTGAAATAACATTGGAAACAACTATCCACAGTTGCTAAAAGTTACCAGTAGCTACCCGCTAGCTAGCTAGCTTTGTTGGTCCAGGTAGTGGGTTAGCTAGCCTCGTGCTTCGCCGGGCTCCGCCGAATACAATACTTACCTACAATAATTACCTACAATAACCTACAATAACTACCTAAGTAAACTACCTACAATACCTAACTACAATACCTACCTACAATCTAAATACATGGTTTAAGCTTTACTCAACACCATATAAGAAGCCAAGCTTACCTCCTGCTAGAGAAAACACAACCTCTCCCGACCACAACCTCTCCTAGGAGGTTGTGGTCGGGAGAGGTTGTGGTCATGCACTATATTCCCTGTATAGTGCATGATACCCTATTCCCTGTATAGTGCATGATACCCTATTCCCTGTATAGTGCAGTATACCCTATTCCCTGTATAGTGCATGATACCCTATTCCCTGTATAGTGCAGTATACCCTATTCCCTGTGTAGTGCATGATACCCTATTCCCTGTATAGTGCAGTATACCCTATTCTCTGTATAGTGCATGATACCCTATTCCCTGTATAGTGCATGATACCCTATTCTCTGTATAGTGCAGTATACCCTATTCTCTGTATAGTGCATGATACCCTATTCTCTGTATAGTGCATGATACCATATTCCCTGTATAGTGCAGTATACCCTATTCCCTGTATAGTGCATGATACCCTATTCTCTGTATAGTGCATGATACCCTATTCTCTGTATAGTGCATGATACCCCATTCTCTGTATAGTGCATGATACCCTATTCCCTGTATAGTGCATGATACCCTATTCCTTGTATAGTGCATGATACCCCATTCTCTGTATAGTGCATGATACCCTATACCCTGTATAGTGCATGATACCCCATTCTCTGTATAGCTTAGGGATCCCTATTCTGTATAGCGCATGATACCCCATTCCCTGTATAGTGAAATATACCCTATTCCCTGTATAGTGCAGTATATCCTATTCCCTGTATAGTGCTGTATACCCTATTCCCTATATAGTGCAGTATACCCTATTCCCTGTATAGTGCAGTATACCATATTCCCTGTACAGTGCAGTATACCCTATTCCCTGCATAGTGCAGTATACCCTATCCCTGCATAGTGCAGTATACCCTATTCCCTGTATAGGGCTGTATACCCTATTCCCTGTATAGTGCAGTATACCATATTCCCTGTACAGTGCAGTACAGTATACCCTATTCCCAGTATATAGTGCAGTATACCCTATTCCCTGTATAGTGCAGTATACCTTATTCCCTGTATAGTGCTGTATACCCTATTCCCTGTATAGTGCAGTATACTCTATTCCCTGTATAGTGCAGTATACCCTATTCCCAGTATATAGTGCAGTATACCCTATTCCCTGTATAGTGCTGTATACCCTATTCCCTGTATAGTGCAGTATACTCTATTCCCTGTATAGTGCAGTATACTCTATTCCCTGTATAGTGCACTACTGATCAAAAGTAGTGCACTATATAGGGAATAGGGTGCCATTAGGGACATAGCAGAGATAATAACATATCCAGACTCGTCGTCTTTAGGTCATACAGTAAACTACAGTATTGTTATGATCAGTCATCAGTGAGCTATAGAACAGGAAGTTACTGTAACTCACCATCAGGTGAAATTGGTCTACTGTACCAATCAGAAAGGTTTCCTGTGTTCAATGGTCGGTAGTCGGTTTAATTGCAATCCTCCTTGTTTAATTTCTGCAGTGAATAAATGCTCTGGCCCCATATTAATAAGATAAATAGCTGTTAGATATCAGTTAAGAGAGCAAACAGGAGGGTAGCCATTAAAGTTCATTGCAGGGTTGGATGACAGAACTGGAGATGATTGTTATTGCGCCACCCAGTGGTCGAACACCAAAGTGCATGGGGTTCTAATAGAAACATTTTTCCACTTCACACTTAAAGGGGAATTTCACCACGGGGGGATCTGGCCTTGTTTTCATCAGGTCTGAGGCATTTCTAGAACAGTGAGATGTGTTTCACACATAATTGCCCAGGAGGAAGGCAGGTCTGTGCTAATTCAGAAACATCAGAGGGTTGTATTCATTAGTTCACCACAGAGGGTTGTATTCATTAGTGCACAAAAGCAAACTATTTTGCAACAAAATCATTGACATCACATTGTAGATTAGAGCCTCTTGGAGTAAAGCTTCCGTTGCAAACATTTTGCTACAGTGTGCACTAATGACTATGGCCTGTTAGCCAATCATGATGATATCACATGTTTATCATGTGGGCAGTGTATTTGACAAACTCAAAATGAGACAAAGGGTGTTTTAAAGAGTTTAATAATCCAATGTTTTATATACATGTAAAAAAAGGTCAGTTATGAACATGTGTATCCTGAGTTTGAATGAAAAGACCATATGATGGCAGTATACAATACATGGAACATCCTTGAGTATCAAAAAACATCCACGGATTTGGAAATTAAATCAGAATTGTACATTTCCATTGAAGCTCTCCTATTTGGGGCAATTTAGATTGGTATTCACTTACAGTAGCAGAAAGACTGTCTGTGTTTCTGATACCACCTATCAAACGTATAGGAAACAGCATGCTCATATAGAAAACATCAGATAAGCAGACAGAGTAATGAATACATGTGCTGTAAACAACATATGGTGTGTGTCCCAAATGGCACCCTATTCCCAATATAGTGCACTACTTTTGACCATAGCCCCTATGGGCCCTGTTCAAAAGTAGTGCTATGCATAGGGAATAGGGTGCCATTTGGGACACGCTGTCTTGGGTTAGAAAATTAAAGCTGTATAGTCACACATATCAAGAGAGGACTGCATCTCAAGCTTAATACTGTTGCTATTTAATGTGCTAAGAATGCACTTAATGTTGATGATGTTAGGCAGTAGCAACAAGAACTTCAGGAAGTCTCCACAGAACATGACTGACTGGTTGATGGCAGCCATCTTGAATACAGTACTCTAGTGGTAAAATGTCTACTTTCACACACTGTCTGTGAGAAAACTAATTGGTTTGGTCATCTTTGAGTGGTCAGAAAAATAAGACTATAAATGCATATTCCTTAACCATGAAATAAAATGTACATGAAATGCCAGAAGATAAAGTTTCCATTAACTGTTGGGTAAAACAGGTTCAGACTGTCTGAGACACATTATGCGTCCCAAATGGCAACCTATTCCATATATAGTGCACTACTTTTGACCAGAGCCCTATGGGCACTATAAAAGGGTATAGGGTGCTATTTGAGACAAAGTCACTGTAGATCACAGACAGTTGACTAGGTTGTCCCTCTCCTCTATCTGTTTGTCCACTGCTAGGTCCATGGCCTCCAGGAACCTCTCCAGGGCCACTGTCGGGGTCTGGCAACAAGAAATCATAGACAAGTCAGATTCTTGTTGCATAGGAACGCAATGAGCAGCACCCTTTCCATATAAAAATAGTTTCTTAAGAGAAAAAAAATCTTCCCATATAATTCTTCTTCAAAAAAACCTGTTTGAATTTTGCGTGAAACATTTGAAAACTTCTAAATACCTTCACAAAAAGAGCATGGGCCAAAAAGGGTAGTTTCCTCAGCGCTCTTCCACTGAGCCCTTTGCTCTTTCTGGAAAAGTCAACAAGAGAAATAAGCGCAAAACATCATTCAATTCTACTCTGATATAATCCAATGCATGCACGCGCACACACACACACACTTACATTTACATTTTAGTCATTTAGCAGACGCTCTTATCCAGAGCGACTTACAGTTAGTGAGTGCATACATTTTCATACTGGTCCCCCTGGCCCCCCGTGGGAAACGAACCCACAACCTTGGCGTTGCAAGCGCCATGCTCTACCAACTGAGCTACACGGGGCCACTTCTCAAAGGTAGTAGCTGGGTGGCAGGTCTGAGATATGAATGGCAACGCTACTGAGGGCCAGTACTCACATGGAGATGTTCCTGAGAAGCAGGCTGAGCTCTGACACGTTGCTCTCCCTGAAGCCCATGGTCTCCAGCTCAAACATGGTCAGCAGTTGCTGTCTGGGGTAGATGATCTGGCACTAGACCCATTACACAAAAAGGGGAAAGAACACATGATTTCTACCTCTGGACGCATTTATTGAGGTTGACGTTTCGGTACAAGACCTTTGTCAAGACCCTGGCACTGAACACAAACATGTCAGTGAAAAGACACCTCAATAACTTTGGTCAGAGTAACTGTATCCTACAGTAGAACCTCAAAGATACGAACCCCAGAGTTACAGACTGACACATCTTTAAGCACATTTCATCCAGGCAGGACAGGGACGAGAATGTTGGGGGTTTGTACCTTATGTAGTTCTCCAGCAGGACAGAAGAGTTGGTGTGTTTTTACCTTCATGAGTTCCTCCAGGCAGGACAGACAGATGTTGGTGTGTTTTTACCTTCATGAGTTCCTCCAGGCAGGACAGAGAGATGTTGGTGTGTTTTTACCTTCATGAGCTCCTCCAGGCAGGACAGACAGATGTTGGTGTGTTTTTACCTTCATGAGTTCCTCCAGGCAGGACAGGTAGATGTTGAAGATGCCCTCTACAGACGGAGGGCCGATGTACTGCTTGATGTCTGCTCTGTCCACAAACGCCAGGTCTATCTTCTCTGTCACGTTGGAGGTGGTCAGAATCACAACATTAGGATACCTGGAATATACAAGATCAGCTGGGTAAAACTACATACAAACCAACACACTGGAGGATGGAGGATGAAGTGGTAGAATGCCAGAGCTGCTTGGAGAGAACATGGTTGTATCCCAAATGGCACCCTATTCTCTATATAGTGCACTACTTTTGACCAGGGCACTGTGGGAATACAGTGCCATTTGGGACGCGCCAAGTAATAGGAAGTAATGTTAAACAGTGCTTTCATGAGTTGTTGCTTCAATCTATGGGACCTAATGTGTGAACAACCACGGTAGATTAACTGAACATGAGCATGTCTGACTGACCGCTTAATCTGGTCCAGCTGTGTGAGGACAGAGTTGACCACTCGGATGGCATCTGAGGGTTCCGTTCCGGCCTGGGAGGCGTTCCGCGCAGCCGTCAGACTCTCCACCTGGTCATCAAACAACACAGTTACTCTAGGCCCTGCAATTGTAGGAGTTAACTGGGCCCTGCAGTTGTAGGAGTTAACTGGGCCCTGCAGCGGTAGGCTTTAACTGGGCCATGCAGTGGTAAGAGTTAACTGGGCCCTGCAGTGGTAGGCTTTAACTGGGCCCTGCAGTGGTCGGCTTTAACTGGGCCCTGCAGTGGTAGGCTTTAACTGGGAACTGCAGCTGTAGGCTTTAACTGGGCCCTGCAGCTGTAGGAGTTAACAGGGCACTGCAGTTGTAGGCTTTAACTGGGGCCTGGAGTTGTTCCTGACCACATGACCTGACCAGGAAAACCTCTGGACCACTGTTGTAGGCTATTCATACTTTACCTCATCGATGAGAACAAACACCAGAGCCTGCTTGTCATCGATCAGTTGTTGGATCTTCTGGAACATCTTAGTGACCAGTTTACCACTCTGGAACAAAGACACATTACCTGTTTACAGTCAAACAATACCAATAATGATGTATTCATGTATGTTGATGTTGTATAGTTTTGCTGGTGACAAATCCAATTTCCCCTTGTGGGATTAATAAAGTTTATTCCAGTAAATTCAATAAGACATGTAATGAGAAGCAGGAAGAGCTAACTGTACCTCAGAGAACCACTTGGAGAACAAACTGTGGCTGTTGATCTCAACAAACTGCCCATAAGAGTACCTGCAGGGAGAATAGGACAGGGAGTTCAAGTTTTTATAACCCACATGGAAGTCATAGACTCTGAAATACATGGATATTGCATTGATTAATAGACAATAAAACATTCAAGTTAAAATACAAGGTAAAACCATGACAATATGTACATTTCCATTTGGGAATACAGCACATGGTGGAATGAATAGAGGAGGTGGAAAAACATCCTGCAACAAGTTTCCGCCAAAGCCCTTTCCTCTGAGCGAGAGCTCTCTCTCTTACCGGTCCGATAGTCTGATTGACAGCTTCTGGGCCAGAGCTTTACACAAAGACGTCTTCCCTGTGCCCGGGGGTCCTAATGTGGGCACAAATATAGACACACGATCGAAATCATTTCAAATTATATTGCTTTTTAGAGATATCACATGTATGCTTATTATAGTTGGCACATCCATATTTTAGGCATATTATATACAGCATATTGAGGATTGGCATAATCATAGGATATTATACATTAATATCAAATGTATTACCATATTCTATTATCATATTATATAATATATAATATATTATTATATTAATGTGTCAAGTTAACAAGATCCTGTTTCTGTTACCATGAAGCAGGACAACCCGGTTCCATGAGATCAGGTTGCTGTCCACGTTTTTGTCAGAGAAGTAAATCGTGGTTGAGACGTAATCCAAGAGCTAGAGGGGAAAAGACGATGACAACAGGATGCAGTTCAAATAATTCCATCAATGTAGTACCACTGGCATCTATCTACAACACTCCGTTAATAGCACAAGTTATTAAGGTTGATTCCCAAATGACACCGTATCCCATATGTAGTGCACTACCTTTGACCAGAACCCTATAGGCCCGTAGAGTGCCATTTGGGACGCATCATAAATGTTTCTTACTTGTGTTTTGACCCCGCTCTCATACACCAGACTCTCCCAGATGCCATGGAACTCAGCTGAAAAAAAATACCACACACAGGGGAGTAATCATGTATTTGAATCCATTTAGAAGAAAACGTCAACCCTGGCAGCCATAGAATTACATATAGAACAGTAAATTAGTAGAATCTCTGTTAACATGGGCCCACCCACCGGCTGGTAAGAGCCAGTGATTGGCTGCAGAGAGCTCCTCCTCCTCCAGGTTCAGAGTGCTGGGCCCGTCATCATTCAGGGTGAAGATGTGGATGGACAGACTGCAGCTCTTCAGATCTATGGGCTGGAGGAGGAAAACAACCCAAACATCAGACATATGTCTTACAGTGCACTGTACTGCTTTTTACCAGGGTCCTTAGGGCTCAGGTCTAAAGTAGTGCACTGTATAAGGAATAGGGTGCCATTTGGGACTCATACCATGTTGCATTAACATACAGCTGAAAATGTATTATTAATTTGCCACTAAGACATACTGTATGTGCCAATTAGTGCCTACAGGACATGATTTATCTCAAGCAACTTGAAAGGGAGGGAAAAAAGTCGGAGAAAAATATATCTGTACAGTAAATGCCGTTAGGCTGTCATAGTACTTTACTTTTCTCTCAGCATCCACTATGGCCACTGATTGGACGTGTTTGATAAGGAAGTCCTCGTCAAACTCTGTCCACCTGTATGCCCCGAACACCATGCGATGACGGTTCAGCAGGGCCAAGACATGCATCTTCACGTCAGACCTCTTCGCAGTGCTGCAGTCAGTGTAATACGCAGAGAGAGAGAGAGAGAGAGAGAGATGAGAGAGAGCAGTGTTGTTAGGGACAAGAAGAAAGGAATGGAAGCATGTCATGAATACAACTTTGAAAAGACTAACATGCTGGGGTAAATCATTACATAACTGAGTGTCCCAATTGGCAACCCTATTCAATGGGAGGGCCCTGGTCAAAAGTAGTGCACTATATAGGGAACAGGGTGCCATTTGGGACACTTTCATTCCCCAGTACTGTAATACTAGTTCAGTGTGAATAGAGCTTTTGAATATGCACTAGCTAGTACCTGTTAGATTTGACGTGAACCTCCACATGGATGTTGTTCATGTCGTTGGGGTTCTGCTTCAGATCCCCTACATCCATTCTGTCGCCCTCCATACCTTCAGAGAGATTAAAATATATGTCAAAATTATAACATTTTCGAGGGGAAATACAATAACTCATCGTTCAGTCTAATGTAATGTCTCGACAACAGTACACTTGTTGACATCACCAACATGAACAAGAAGTACTTATCTGCCTTTAGAACTAACAACAAAATAAGTATAATTATCTAGTTAGTATGACAACAACACATTGAATTCAAAGCATCAAGCTCACAGCATTTAGCTACTAGCCAAAGTCGCAGAGTGACACGCTTTAATCTGTTGCTAGATCTCGCTAGCAAGTGTTGTTACTAGTGTTACGTGTAATACAGCTATTGCGATTCGTCAGTTATTTTGTTGAAGCTTTAATTCAAGAAGTTTACACAAAATTGCTTACCTGAGTTTTGGTCCGGTATCGACTGGACGTCAGTCGAATTTAGCGCGCAGTTTTGTTGAACCTGAAGTAGATGCATTGTTGTGGGAAATGTACTTCCGGGTTATTGGGGTACGGATCGCATTTGATTGCAAACAATGATTAGATACAGATATCTAATTACTAGACGCTTTCGCTTAATTTAAACACAACAAACATGGGGAAGAAGCATAAAAAGCACAAGCCGGAGTGGAGAACAGTTGATGGTAAGTGAGCAAAGAAACCTATTCAAAGCCTGGCTTTGTCCCATTTTGCTAGCCTAGCAAGCTAGCAGCGTTCGCTAGCTAACGTTATCCTACTTAATGGCCAGCTGACTGAATCGTCCTGCGGTGCCAGTGCTAACTTACTATTCCTCCACTTATGTTGCTTGCTGCCATAAGCATGACCAATTAATATTATGAGGGATGTATATCAGGTCTTATCAAGATTGACTATTCATAATATTGGCATTAACGCTAGCTAGCCAGTTTATCCTGTCGTAGTGGTAGCATTGCCCAGCAGATAGATCTCTGTGATGGGTAGCTAATGTTTATCATCACTTATTACACAGTAACACACACACCACATATTCTGCTAGTATGATGACACATCATGCTTGTTGATCTTGCGCTGGGTATGACCCATAACTCAGTTAAATGTGGTCTCTGTTTTCAGACTGTGAGGACAAGCCTTTTGAGAAGCCGCTGAAGCTGGTGCTGAAAGTGGGAGGAAGTGAGATCACAGAACTCTCAGGCTCCGGCCATGACTCTAGTTACTACGACGACAGGTCAGACCATGAACGAGAGCGCCACAAGGACAAAAAGAAGAAGAAGAAGAAAAAGTCTGAGAAGGAGAAAGACAAACATGTAGATGATGAGGAGAGGAGAAGACGGAAAGTGAGTATGAGCTGAACAAGGTGTGTCCCAAATGGCACCCTATTCCCTATATAGTGCACTACTTTTGACCAGATCCATATGGGCCCTGGTCAGAAGTAGTGCACACAGTAAAGGGAATAATATGATGCCATTTGGGAGGCAGCCTTTCATAAAAAAAAAGCATACCATATAACAGCTAGCACAAAAAAAAAACAATAATCAATCAATGAATGTGTGATCTTTGACAGGAAGAGAAGAGGAAGAAGAGAGAGCGGGATCTGAATGAATCAGAGGCTGCTACTGCCTCTGCCAGTGGTGTCGGCCTGCCCAGTGTGGTGCCCAGTCACACTGGTGTGGCAGTCCAGCCTTTCATGCTGCCAAAGATACCAAACATTGGTATTAGTTTTGAGGTGAGAACGTTTTGGTTTGAATTACTCAAGTTTCAAGTTTTATTAGTCGTATGTACAGGATACACATTGTATACACCGTCCAATGAAATGCTTACTTGCAGCAAGCTTACTTGAGCCCTAGAGCCTATAATGTTTTCCTGGAGGTCACATGGTCGGAAAACCTCTTGGTCCTACAGGAGATAGTGGAACTGGGGACCTCCTGGTCCTATAGGCGATAGTGGAACTGGAGACCTCCTGGTCCTATAGGAGATAGTGGAACTGGGGACCTCCTGGTCCTATAGGAGATAGTGGAACTGGGGACCTCCTGGTCCTATAGGAGATAGTGGAACTGGGGACCTCCTGGTCCTATAGGAGATAGTGGAACTGGGGACCTCCTGGTCCTATAGGAGATAGTGGAACTGGGGACCTCCTGGTCCTATAGGAGATAGTGGAACTGGGGACCTCCTGGTCCTATAGGAGATAGTGGAACTGGGGACCTCCTGGTCCTATAGGAGATAGTGGAACTGGAGATAGTGAAGTAAATAAGAATACAGTGTTTGGCAATACTGTACATTACTGCCTTTACTACCGTCTAACAAGTATTATAATTACTCATTCATACACTGTACTTGCAGCAGTAACACTAACACTAACCCTAACCATAATAACTAGGAGATCATAGGACAATCTCCAGTAGTTTAATGAGGACAATGTCACTGACTCCTGTTGTGGCTTTGCCTGTCTGTCTCAGCAGCAGGAGGAGAAGAAGAGGAAGAGGTTTGAGATGGAGCCGGAGCCGGAGATGATGGACCAGTTTCACCCCAACATCAAGACAGAGGTGGAGCAGCAAGGAGACCGGCCTATCAGGGCTTGCAGGACAGTCCCGGGTAATAATCTAGCAGTTCTCCTGTGTTGTTACATGTTATTACACATTTTATTACTGATTATAAACTGGGTGGTTTGAGCCCTGAATGCTTATTGGCTGACAGCCGTTGTATAGCAGACCGTATACCATGGGTGTGACAAAATGTATATTTACTGCTCTAGTTATGTTGGTTACCAGTTTATAATAGCAATAAGGCACCTCAGGGGGTTGTGATATATTGCCAATATACCACGGTTAAGGGCTGTATCCATTCACTCCGCATTGTGTCGTGCATAAGAACAGCCTTTAGCCTTGGTATACTGGCCATATACCACACCCCCTCGGGCCTTATTGCTTGATCATAACATACATTGTACATCCATAGTAATCTGTGAGGTGTTAAAGGCTAATGTAAAATAGGATCACATTGGATTGTAGAATTTGTGCTGATGTGATTGTGTGTTTGTCTCTTCCCTCAGAGAGTGAGTGCACCCCTCGGCAGCAGCTCCTGGAACACTTCCTGCGCCAGCTTCAGAGGTAAGGCTCTCTGACAACATTGACCATGTTTACATCAACACCAGTATCCCGTTATTATTCGGAATGCTCAAGTATTCTGTTTTAGAGTTGATGCATATAAACATCATATCAGCTTGTATCCTGGTTATGAGAAACCAGGATAAAATTCCTGGGATATGTTGATCTTAGACAGGATACTGTGGCATGTAAACATCTTATCGGCCTCAGTTTCGCATATCATGGGTGTTGTGTGATGATGTTTAACTGTCAAACAAATCACTTCAAAAAGTAGGCTACCTGTGCGGTTCGATCCACCGTAATAATTTCATAATAATTTATTTTGTTGATATTCCATACTTGACCGTATAGCCTACTGGTTACTTTCACCCCTAATTTAGACAAGTTTCTGCGTATAATTTCCGACATTTGGTAGGCAATATCATAATTTCCGACATTTGGTAGGCCATATTATAATTTCCTACATTTGGTAGGCCATATTATTGTCACGACTTCCGCCGAGGCTACCTCCCCTCCTTGTTCGGGCAGGTTTCGGCGTTCGGCGTCACTGGCTTACTAGCTACTGCCGATCTATTTATCATCACTCCATTTGTCTTGTCTTCAATCACACACACCTGGTCCTTATTCCCTCATTAGTCATGGTATACAGTGAGGGAAAAATGTATTTGATCCCCTGCTGATTTTGTACGTTTGCCCACTGACAAAGACATGATCAGTCTATAATTTTAATGGTAGGTTTATTTGAACAGTGAGAGACAAAATAACAACAAATAAATCCAGAAAAACGCATGTCAGAAATGTTATAAATTGATTTGCATTTTAATGAGGGAAATAAGTATTTGACCCCTCTGCAAAACATGACTTTGTACTTGGTGGCAAAACCCAGGTCAGACGTTTTTTGCAGTTGGCCACCAGGTTTGTACACATCTCAGGAGGGATTTTGTTCCACTCCTCTTTGCAGATCTTCTCCAAGTCATTAAGGTTTCGAGGCTGACGTTTGGCAACTCGAACCTTCAGCTCCCTCCACAGATTCTCTATGGGATTAAGGTGTGGAGACTGGCTAGGCCACTCCAGGACCTTAATGTGCTTCTCCTTGAGCCACTCCTTTGTTGCCTTGGCCGTGTGTTTTGGGTCATTGTCATGCTGGAATACCCATCCACGACCCATTTTCAATGCCCTGGCTGAGGGAAGGAGGTTCTCACCCAAGATTTGACGGTACATGGCCCCGTCCATCGTCCCTTTTGATGCGGTGAAGTTGAAAAACACCCCCAAAGCATAATGTTTCCACCTCCATGTTTGATAGTGGGGATGGTGGTCTTGGGGTCATAGGCAGCATTCCTCCTCCTCCAAACACGGCGAGTTGAGTTGATGCCAAAGAGCTCGATTTTGGTCTCATCTGACCACAACACCCAGTTCTCCTCTGAATCATTTAGATGTCATTGGCAAACTTCAGACGGGCCTGTATATGTGCTTTCTTGAGCAGGGGGACCTTGCGGGCGCTGCAGGATTTCAGTCCTTCACGGCGTAGTGTGTTACCAATTGTTTTCTTGGTGATTATGGTCCCAGCTGCCTTGAGATCATTGACAAGATCCTCCCGTGTAGTTCTGGGCTGATTCCTCACCGTTCTCATGATCATTGCAACTCCACGAGGTGAGATCTTGCATGGAGCCCCAGGCCGAGGGAGATTGACAGGTCTTTTGTGTTTCTTCCATTTGCAAATAATCACACCAACTGTTGTCACCTTCTCACCAAGCTGCTTGGCGATGGTCTTGTAGCCCATTCCAGCCTTGTGTAGGTGTATAATCTTGTCCCTGACATCCTTGGAGAGCTCTTTGGTCTTGGCCATGGTGGAGAGTTTGGAATCTGATTGATTGATTGCTTCTGTGGACATGTGACTTTTATACAGGTAACAAGCTGAGATTAGGAGTACTCCCTTTAAGAGTGTGCTCCTAATCAGAAATCTTTCTGATTGAGAGGGGGTCAAATACTTATTTCCCTCATTAAAATGCAAATCAATTTATAACATTTTTGACATGCGTTTTTCTTGATTTTTGTTGTTGTTATTCTGTCTCTCACTGTTCAAATAAACCTACCATTAAAATTATAGACGGATCATTTCTTTGTCAGTGGGCAAACGTACAAAATCAGCAGGGGATCAAATACTTTTTTCCCTCACTGTAAGTGTTCCCTCTGCTTCCTTGTCTGTGTGGGTGATTGTTTATTGTGGAGGTTAGTGAAGCTCGGTGGAGCTCGTGTATTGTGTATCGACGGGAGTATTTTTCCCGTGCGCCTGTTTTATGCCCTGGAAAATACAAGGCAGCCTCGGCGGAAGTCGTGACAATTGTAATTTCCTACATTTGGTAGGCCATGTCAACTATAGTTTGATACATGCAGCTTGTCTTCTGTCATGACTTGTTGCCCCAGGAGACTATATAAAGTAGTGCTCACCAGAATGTCTTACATTGATAGAATGAATGCATCAGTTATCTAGTTAACACCGGTAAAGTTGTCTGTTTCGTTTAGGTCTGCATTTAGGGACCGGGGTGAAAACGCAACAACTCCAAAACAGTGGAGAGATTGGTCCTGTGCAAAATGTCCAAATGTCATCAGTTTGACCGGTTTTAAGGAAATGAAAAGCTGAGAAAATGATTAAACACTTTGCTGATAAGACTTCAGTTCATCTTAGGTGCTTATTTTAGGTGGTTGAAATACTGTCTGCTTGCATAACGGTGTCAAAGATAACACATTACACGCGCATTCGCATTTTCTCGAGAGATGATGAAAGAAAGAAATAATATTTATCCTCTCCTGTTCCCGAGACAAAATTTGTTTTATAATTTTGCTGCAAGAAATGCATAATTCTGCAGGAGTTCATATTATATTACGCTACATGTGGGAGGTTAGAGTCCTACAGTCAGTGTCCATATTTCAGTTACTATTCCATTTAACCCATATGAATTTAAATTAGGAATATTCAGTTTATTCATGGATACAGGGATTCTCGTGAGTGGGATATCAAAGGTGCATGTAAACAGCTTACCCGAATATGTCACGTTCGTTGAGTACAGGATTGGACCAAGGTGCAGTGTGGAATGCATACATGTTTATTAACGAAGTTAACACACGACAAAACAACAAAAGCAACGTAACGTCAAGCTCACAATGGCTATACACAAACAAGCCAAACAAGAGTCAAGATCCCACAACATAGGTAGGCAACATGGCTACCTAAGTATGATCCCCAATCAGAAACAACGATCGACAGCTGCCTCTGATTGGGAATCACACCCGGCCAACAGATCTACAAACAGAATGTACACATAGAAATTCACACCCTGACCAAACCAACTAAAGAAAACCGGGCTCTCAAGGCCAGGGCGTGACAGTACCCCCCCCCCCCCCCCAAAGCTGCGTACTCCGGCCGCACCAACCTGACTCATTAGGGGAGGGTCCGGGTGGGCATTCAGCCTCGGTGGCGGCTCCGGGCGTGACGTCCTCTCCCTCTCTGCCTCCCCGTTGCACCCCTGGTCCGGTCTGGACCTCGGCGCGATGCTTCCCCTCTCAGTCCTCACACGATGCACCAAGCCCTGTCTGGACCCTGGTGTGGGAGGCCCCGACCCTGGAGAGGGGCCGACGTCTGGGCCTGGACCGGCAATCCCCCCGCGATGCACCAAGTCCTGTCTGGACCTTGGTGTGGGAGGCCCCGACCCTGGAGAGGGGTTGACGTCTGGCACTGGAGTGGAGCCGCTGACCGGAGCTGAACTGGACCCCGGTGGAGCGGACTGCTCTGGCACTGGAGTGGAGCAGCTGACCGGAGCTGGACTAGGCACCAGTGGAGCGGACTGCTCTGGCACTGGAGTGGAGCAGCTGACCGGAGCTGGACTGGACAACGGTGGAGCGGACTGCTCTGGCACCAGCCGTACCGGGCTGGGGACACGCACCACTGGTCTGGTGCGAGGAACAGGCATGAGCCGCACCGAGCTGGGAACACGCACCACTGGTCAGGTGCGAGGAGCAGGCACGGGCCGTGCCGGACTGGAGACACGCACCACTGTTTTGGTGCAAGGAGCAGGCACGGGGCGTACCGGACTGGAGACACGCACCACTGGTTTGGTGCAAGGAGCAGGCACGGGGCGTACCGGGCTGGAGACACGCACCACTGGTTTGGTGCGAAGAGCAGGAACAACCCGTCCTGGCTGAACGCTCATGTTAGCCCGACAAGAGCGGGACGCGGGCACCACTCGCACCGGGCTGTGAATCACAGCAGAACAGGGTGCCTGTATGGTCCCACGCTCCTTCTGTTGCCTGGCCAGCTCCTCTCTCCTTGCATCCACTGACTCCTTCTCCCTTTGGGCCTCCTGCAGCGCCTCCTTCTGAAGTGATTGCTCCTGCTCCCTCTTCTCTAACAGCCCCCGTAATGTGGTGGCCTTCTCACTCATACTGCTGATCCGCAGGTCTTGGAGGACCCCTACATTAGCGGCCTCCTCCCCTAAAGTCAGCCCTTTCACGGCCTCCTAATGCTTCGTCGACCACCCCGTGTACCCCCCAATTTTTTTATTGGGGTTGCCTCTTGGGTCTCCTTTGTCGTTTCGCATTTTGGAGTCGCCGTCGATCCGGACTCCAGCCCTCCTCCATTACCTCACCGTAACGGACGGATTCTTCCTCTGTAATTTTTCCCCAACCGAGGAGGACATCTACCAAGGTTGCTTCCCGCTGTGTCCAGGGTGTTTGCTCCTCCTGGGCACGCTGCTTGGTCCGTTGGTGGTGGGATCTTCTGTCACGCTCGTAGAGTACAGGATTGGACCAAGGTGCAGTGTGGAATGCATACATGTTTATTAACGAAGTTAGCACACGACAAAACAACAAAAGCAACGTAACGTCAAGCTCACAATGGCTATACACAAACAAGCCAAACAAGAGTCAAGATCCCACAACATAGGTAGGCAACATGGCTACCTAAGTATGATCCCCAATCAGAAACAACGATCGACAGCTGCCTCTGATTGGGAATCACACCCGGCCAACAGATCTACAAACATAGAATGTACACATAGAAATTCACACCCTGACCAAACCAACTAAAGAAAACCGAGCTCTCAAGGCAGAATAAGACCTTAAGCAGGATATGAGCTACTATCTGGAATACTGTGGGCATGTAAACGTGGTCAGTGACAGATCCACGAACATCTCTGGATTATGCCTGTTGGTGACATGAAAGTCAGTTCAGTCGGTACTAATTGATTGTCTTGTCTTTCCAGGAAGGATGCCCATGGGTTTTTCACTTTCCCAGTGACAGACGCCATCGCTCCGGGTTACTCTGTGATAATCAAACACCCCATGGACTTCAGCACCATGAACGACAAGATCACAGACAACGAGTACAAAACCGTCACAGAGTTCAAGGTGAGGTGATGCTACTTCCTCGCCTCTTTCGCAACTGTATTGGAGAAGGTCCAACATGACTTCCCTTGGACCTTCTTCTCCAATGCATTTTGAGAAGGTGACAAGGACAGAAGTTGCCAGGAATCAGTGAAAGATTCATTGTGGAAGAGCCTTGGTGTTATCACGTTGATATAACTTGTGGAAATGAATGTGTGTGTGCTTTACATAATGGTAACATTCATAACATGGATAGTGTTTTCAAAGGAGGATATTTATTTGCTTCAATTGAAAAAATATTTGTGTTGAAGTATTTGTATCAGTTTTATGTTTGTAATTGAGTGATGGAGCTGCTTCTTCTAAAGCTGTTGCTTCCTCTGTTGCAGGCAGACTTCAAGCTGATGTGTGATAATGCCATGGTGTATAACCGGCCAGAGACAGTTTACTACAAGGCTGCCAAGAAACTGCTGCACACTGGCTTCAAGATGATGAGCAAAGTAATGAGTAGAGTCTGTGTCCTATACAAGGACCGGATAGAAATGTGATTGTCAGTGTATGATTTGTTGTGCGTGTTGATGTTCATAACCCATCCATTTCATGCACTTCCCTTTCCTGTGACAGATGTCTTCGCTGGTGCTTCCTGTTTGCCCTTGTCTTGTCCTTTTCTGTTCTCTCTATGCCATTTGACCTGTTGGTCATTCTTCTTCCTCTCTGGCTTTGTGAAACAGATTTGCCTCTGTGTGTTTTTACTTCAGACTCAACACACTCTAAGGTCCTTGTATATTTCCATAATGTAGCATTGGAGCATTCAGGAGACTGTAGAACAACAAAAACAGATAGAGGGCAGATGTGTGACTCGAGAGAGATGTTTGTTCAATGATTTCCCTCCTAACAATCATCACCATCCCACCAGCCATCCCATCCTGCCATCCCACCAGCCATCCCATCACTCTCTGGCTGAGTTGTGGTAGATGGAGTATAAAGTGTTGCCCTTTGGTTCTCTTTCTCTCTCTCTCTGTGGCTCTCTCTTTCTCTGTGGCTCTGTACTCTGTTTACAGGAGCGGCTGTTAGCTCTGAAGCGCAGCATGTCTTTCATGCAGGACATGGATTTCTCTCAGCAGGCGGCCATTTTGGGGGACGAGGACGTGGCGTCCGAGGAGCCCCCGCCGGAGGTCGTCCCCGTGCCCGTGGAGTCGGCGTCGGCCAAGAAATCCAAGAAACAGCCCAAAGACATCAAAGATCTGAAGGAAGTCATCAGGTAGAATGGACTGGCCTAATCTCTAGTCCAGTGTCTTGACTTCAGTAGATGTTGGTCTAATGCATGTGTACACATGACATCATTGCTCAAGTAGTCCCTTCTGTTGTCCCAGGCTTGGTACAATGTGACGGATGAGGCCCATAAACCACTACTGTATGGTGTTCATTGTATCCTACATGTTACATCCGACATGCTGCATAACCATGAACTGTAGAGTAACAGTGTGTATCTCTGTGGGCCGGCCCGCTCATTAGGCAGGATTAGGTGGCTATGGCTAAACTGACCAAGACGCACCTCCAACAACACATAAAACTTCACATAATTCTGCCCAAAAACAATGACAGTTTCTCTCAACCAGTGGCAAATGGGCTTTTTAGGTGAGCGCTGATGCCGCCCTATGATAAGCAGTGTCCACTTTGTCAAAGGCAGGGGCGCAAATTGTTTATCTTGTCCATTCCCAGCGCGCCTCTCCAGGGTGCTGTTGGAGAGACCCAAAAAATCATCAAACATATATGTAGCAGATGTAGGATATGGTAGAAAGAGAATGTAGCCTTATCTATAGCCTACAGGCTGGAGATCAAATGTATGACAATGTAATGAGATATAAACTTTTTACATCATGCACTATTCTCTGATCAAATAGCCTAACCTAAATGGCGCCCAATCAAATAAAAAATGCGCTGACATGTTAACAAACAACATATCCTAAAAACAGGACAGGTCAAAGTAAAATGGACAATATGGAATGGACAATCGGGTTACTTAACTGCTATCCAGGAGTTTCATCTCGTGGGCTAAATTGTCATGATCAGTGGTTTTAAGTTTGTATCCATACATTTTTTACGAGCTGATCATAGCGAAAAAGTAATATACTTCTGCATTTCTCGCTGTTTAAACACATTGCAAATAGGCTCGGGATAACCCCTCCTGATAAAGTTGGGTAGCTGATATTCAGAGCTTAAATAGCCAAATTGATTAGTCATCAGGACTAATACCCCTGTAGCTCAGTTGGTAGAGCATGGCGCTTGCAATGCCAGGGTTGTGGGTTCGTTTCCCACGGGGGGCCAGTATGAAAACATGTATGCACTCACTAACTGTAAGTCGCTCTGGATAAGAGCGTCTGCTAAATGACTAAAATGTACAAATGTAATAAAGACAATGCAACGGCCTGTTTTGCAAACGGTGGGCCTACCACATGGATGGGCAGTCATAAAATTCCATTGTGGGCCGGCATGCTAAGCACCTTTTTTTGGTCGGCCGTCTTTTTTTGGGGTGTTTTACAAACGATAGGCCTACCACATAGCTGGGCATTGTGGGCCTGTAGGCCAGGGATGGACAACTCCAGTCCTCTGGGGCCTGATTGGTGTCACACTTTTGCCCCAGCCACAGAAAACACATCTGACACCAATAATCAACTAATCATAATCTTCAGTTTAGAATGCAATTAGTTTCATCAGCTGTGTTGACAAGGGATTGGGGAAAAGTGTTAGACTGGAGTTGCCCATCCCTGCTGTAGGCTAACCTCAGTAAGCACGGACCGACGCTGACGTTTTTTTTGTTCCTGTCCAAACTGGTCTTCTTTTTTGGTGCAGTCTGGACCAGCCTTGATTTACATGTCCACGGACGTTGTTTTTGGGTCCGATCCGGACCAACTCTGAACCAATCATAGACATCTACAGTGGGGAGAACAAGTATTTGATACACTGCCGATTTTGCAGGTTTTCCTACTTACAAAGCATGTAGAGGTCTGTAATTTTTATCATAGGTACACTTCAACTGTGAGAGACGGAATCTAAAACAAAAATCCAGAAATCACATTGTATGATTTTTTAAGTAATTAAATTGCATTTTATTGCATGACATAAGTATTTGATACATCAGAAAAGCAGAACTTAATATTTGGTACAGAAACTTTTGTTTGCAATTACAGAGATCATACGTTTCCTGTAGGTCTTGACCAGGTTTGCACACACTGCAGCAGGGATTTTGGCCCACTCCTCCATACAGACCTTCTCCAGATCCTTCAGGTTTCAGGGCTGTCGCTGGGCAATACGGACTTTCAGCTCCCTCCAAAGATTTTCTATTGGGTTCAGGTCTGGAGACTGGCTAGGCCACTCCAGGACCTTGAGATGCTTCTTACGGAGCCACTCCTTAGTTTCCCTGGTTGTGTGTTTCGGGTCGTTGTCATGCTGGAAGACCCAGCCACGACCCATCTTCAATGCTCTTACTGAGGGAAGGAGGTTGTTGGCCAAGATCTCGCGATACATGGCCCCATCCATCCTCCCCTCAATACGGTGCAGTCTTCCTGTCCCCTTTGCAGAAAAGCATCCCCAAAGAATGATGTTTCCACCTCCATGCTTCACGGTTGGGATGGTGTTCTTGGGGTTGTACTCATCCTTCTTCTTCCTCCAAACACGGCGAGTGGAGTTTAGACCAAAAAGCTATATTTTTGTCTCATCAGACCACATGACCTTCTCCCATTCCTCCTCTGGATCATCCAGATGGTCATTGGCAAACTTCAGACGGGCCTGGACATGCGCTGGCTTGAGAAGGGGGACCTTGCGTGCGCTGCAGGATTTTAATCCATGACGGCGTAGTGTGTTACTAATGGTTTTCTTTGAGACTGTGGTCCCAGCTCTCTTCAGGTCATTGACCAGGTCCTGCCGTGTAGTTCTGGGCTGATCCCTCACCTTCCTCATGATCATTGATGCCCCACGAGGTGAGATCTTGCATGGAGCCCCAGACCGAGGGTGATTGACCGTCATCTTGAACTTCTTCCATTTTCTAATAATTGCGCCAACAGTTGTTGCCTTCTCACCAAGCTGCTTGCCTATTGTCCTGTAGCCCATCCCAGCCTTGTGCAGGTCTACAATTTTATCCCTGATGTCCTTACACAGCTCTCTGGTCTTGGCCATTGTGGAGAGGTTGGAGTCTGTTTTGATTGAGTGTGTGGACAGGTGTCTTTTATTTAGGTAACGAGTTCAAACAGGTGCAGTTAATACAGGTAATGAGTGGAGAACAGGAGGGATTCTTAAAGAAAAACTAACAGGTCTGTGAGAGCCGGAATTCTTACTGGTTGGTAGGTGATCAAATACTTATGTCATGCAATAAAATGCAAATGAATTACTTAGAAATCATACAATGTGATTTTCTGGATTTTTGTTTTAGATTCCGTCTCTTGAAGTGTACCTATGATAAAAATTACAGACCTCTACATGCTTTGTAAGTAGGAAAACCTGCAAAATCGGCAGTGTATCAAATACTTGTTCTCCCCACTGTATGTTTGGTTCAAATTTTGTCCGGTCTGGACTAGCCTTGATTTGGCCCAAACATAGACGTCTATGATTGGTTCAGAGTTAGTCCGGACCAGACAAAAAAAAAAACGTATTTTCAACTTTCATTCAGAACCGAAAATGAACCTGAAAATGAACATATTTCAGTGCCCCGAAAATGGCTATTTTCAGTGCCCGGAAAATAGCTATTTTCAATGCCCGGAAAATAGCTATTTTCAATGCCCGGAAAATACGTATTTTCAATGCCCGGAACATAGCTATTTTCAACGTTCATTCAGAACCGAAAATGTACCTGATTTCAACGTCCGGAAAATGCGTCTTTTCACCTTTCATTCAGAACCTAAATGGAACCTAACTTCAACATCTGGAAAAAAAATACCTATTTTAGATGTCTTTTCAACATCATTTTGCTTACTGGGATAATTCTTGTAGGGGCAGCCATTTTTTGGTCTGGCCTAGGGCGGCAGAACGGCCAGGACCAGCCCTTGTCCCACAGTTACCTGTATTAACCAGTGATCTGTGGAGTAACAGTGTGGATCTCTGTGGTCCCAGCAGTTAGCTGTATTAACCAGTGATCTGTGGAGTAACCGTGTGGATCTCTGTGGTCCCAGCAGTTACCTGTATTAACCAGTGATCTGTGGAGTAACAGTGTGGATCTCTGTGGTTACCCAGTGATCTGTTACAGTGGGATCTGTATTAATTAACCAGTGATCTGTGGGTAACAGTGTGGATCTCTGTGGTCCCCAGCAGTTACCTGTATTAACCAGTGATCTGTGGTACATTACTGTATCTCCTGTGGTCCCACATTACCTGTATGATCCAGAGGAATGCCTGCAGCCTGCCGACAGCACAGCGGGGAGGAGCCACGTCTGGCCTGGTGGAGCACCTGCAGAATTCCTGAATGACCAGAGGACCCGCACCTGACCGACAGCACGCGAGTCAACCGATACATGCCCAACTCCAAGGTGTATATAATAATCAATTGACTATATACCCAACTCAAGGTGTATATACAGTAACCAGTCAAAAAGTTTGGGACACACCTACTCCATTCCAGGGGTGTTTATTTCATTTTTACTATTTTCTACATTTGTAGAATAATAGTGAAGACATCAAAACTATTAAATAACACATATGGAATCATGTAGTAACCAAAAAAGTGTTAAACAAATCAAAATATATTTTAGATTTTAGATTCTTCAAAGTAGCCACCCTTTGCTTTGATGACATCTTTGCACACTTTTGGCATTCTCTCAACCAGCTTCATGAGGAATACTTTTCCAACAGTCTTGAAGGAGTTCCCACATATGCTGAGCACTTGTTGGCTGCTTTTCCTTCACTCTGCGGTCCAACTCATCCCAAACCATCTCAATTGGGTTGAGGTCGGGTGATTGTGGAGGCCAGGTCATCTGATGCAGCACTCCATCACTCTCCTTCTTGGTCAAATAGCCCTTACACAGCCTGGAGGTGTGTTTTGGGTCATTGTCCTGTTGAAACACAAATGATAGTCCCACTCAGCGCAAACCAGATGGGATGGCGTATCTCTGCAGAATGCTGTGGTAGCCATGCTGGTTAAGTGTGCCTTGAATTCTCAAATTTGGACTCATCGGACCAAAGGACAGATTTCCACCGGTCTAATGTCCATTGCTCGTGTTTCTTGGCCCAAGCAGGTCTCTTCTTCTTATTGGTGACCTTTAGTAGTGGTTTCTTTGCAGCAATTCGACCATGAAGGACTGATTCACGCAGTCTCCTCTGAACAGTTGATGTTGAGATATGTCTGTTACTTGAACTCTGTGAAGCATTTATTTGAGAGAAGGCCAAGAGTGTGCAAAGCTGTCATCAAGGCAAAGGGTGGCTACTTTGAAGAATCTCAAATATAAAATATATTTTGATTTGTTTAACACTACATGATTCCATATGTGTTATTTCATAGTTTTGATGTCTTCACTATTATACAATGTAGAAAATAGTAAAAATAAAGAAAAACCCTTGAATGAGTAGGTGTGTCCAAACTTTTGACTGGTAGTGTATAATAATCAACTGCTATATGCCCAACTCCAAGGTGTATAATAATCAACTGCTATATACCCAACTCCAAGGTACTCAATGCACCAGTGTCTGTTTTAATCAGATATGACTGGTAGCCTAGAGGTTAGAGAAGCGGAGGGTTGCTGGTTCGAATCCCTGGCTTTGAGTCAGGTTTACTAGATACTGTTGGACATTTAAAGTGGACGCCAGGGGAGATCTATGTTTAGTTACTACGGTGACCACATGGTTCTTGTGTCCCTGTGTTTTCAGATGGGTTACCTGAGGAAAGAGCCTGATGGCAATCTGTTGTACACTGTAGTGAATCAGCTGAATCCAGAAGCAGAAGGTTTGTTCCCTACTTTTCTAGTGTATTATCCAGTGGGAAACTCACAGTCCCAAATGGCACTATTCCCTATGTAGTGCACTACTTTTGACCAGAGCCCTATTGGACCCTATGGGCTCTGGTCAAAGGTAGTGCACTATATAGGGAATAGGCTACCATTTGGGTCGCACCCATAGAACCTGTATAGATGTACAGTGGGGAGAACAAGTATTTGATACACTGCCGATTTTGCAGGTTTTCCTACTTACAAAGCATGTAGAGGTATGTAATTTTTATCATAGGTACACTTCAACTGTGAGAGGCGGAATCTAAAACAAAAATCCAGAAATTCACATTGTATGATTTTTTAAAGAAATTAATTTGCATTTTATTGCATGACATAAGTATTTGATCACCTACCAACCAGTAAGAATTCCGGGTCTCACAGACCTATTCGTTTTTCTTTAAGAAGCCCTCCTGTTCTCTACTCATTACCTGTATTAACTGCACCTGTTTGAACTCGTTACCTGTATAAAAGACACCTGTCCACACACTCAATCAAACAGACTCCAACCTCTCCACAATGGCCAAGACCAGAGAGCTGTGTAAGGACATCAGGGATAAAATTGTAGACCTACACAAGGCTGGGATGGGCTACAGGACAATAGGTAAGCAGCTTGGTGAGAAGGCAACAACTGTTGGCGCAATTATTAGAAAATGGAAGAAGTTCAAGATGACGGTCAATCACCCTCGGTCTGGGGCTCCATGCAAGATCTCACTTTGTGGGGCATCAATGATCATGAGGAAGGTGAGGGATCAGCCCAGAACTACACGGCAGGACCTGGTCAATGACCTGAAGAGAGCTGGGACCACAGTCTCAAAGAAAACCATTAGTAACACACTACGCCATCATGGATTAAAATCCTGCAGCGCACGCAAGTCCCCCTGCTCAAGCCAGCGCATGTCCAGGCCCATCTGAAGTTTGCCAATGACCATCTGGATGATCCAGAGGAGGAATGGGAGAAGGTCATGTGGTCTGATGAGACAGAAATAGAGCTTTTTGGTCTAAACGCCGTGTTTGGAGGAAGAAGAAGGATGAGTACAACCCCAAGAACACCATCCCAACCGTGAAGCATGGAGGTGGAAACATCATTCTTTGGGGGACAGGACGACTGCACCGTATTGAGGGGAGGATGGATGGGGCCATGTATCGCGAGATCTTGGCCAACAACCTCCTTCCCTCAGTAAGAGCATTGAAGATGGGTCGTGGCTGGGTCTTCCAGCATGACAACGACCCGAAACACACAGCCAGGGCAACTAAGGAGTGGCTCCGTAAGAAGCATCTCAAGGTCCTGGAGTGGCCTAGCCAGTCTCCAGACCTGAACCCAATAGAAAATCTTTGGAGGGAGCTGAAAGTCCGTATTGCCCAGCGACAGCCCTGAAACCTGAAGGATCTGGAGAAGGTCTGTATGGAGGAGTGGGCCAAAATCCCTGCTGCAGTGTGTGCAAACCTGGTCAAGACCTACAGGAAACATATGATCTCTGTAATTGCAAACAAAGGTTTCTGTACCAAATATTAAGTTCAGCTTTTCTGATGTATCAAATACTTATGTCATGCAATAAAATGCAAATTAATTACTTAAAAATCATACAATGTGATTTTCTGGATTTTTGTTTTAGATTCCGTCTCTCACAGTTGAAGTGCACCTATGATAAAAATGACAGACCTCTACATGCTTTGTAAGTAGGAAAACCTACAAAATCGGCAGTGTAACAAATACTTGTTCTCCCCACTGTATGTATCAGATAAATGTCCAAGATGTTCTGGACCATATAAAACGGAGGGAAGTACCTTTTCTGACTCTGTTTCCCAGAGGAGGAGACCCACCCTGTGGACCTGAGCTCTCTGTCCAATAAGCTCCTACCTGGATTAACAACACTGGGCTTCAAAGATGACAGGAGACACAAGGGTATGTGTAGAAAGTGCAAAGCTGCTTAGCTGTTAGCTAACACGTTTGATATATGTCCTGACAATGTAAAAAGTCAATTTGACCTCTGGTGCTTAGAAGTGATAGTTTCTGTCTTTCATACTGTTGGCTATGATGAGAGAGAGAATTTCTTCCAAGGCTTCCTTCTCTGCTCTTCCTGTGTGTGTGTAGTGACGTTCCTGAGCAGTACCTATAACACCCAGACCCTGCAGAACAACTCCATCTACCCAGACCTGCTGCCTGATGAGATGGACATGCTCTACTCAGCCTACGGGGACGAGACTGGGGTGCAGTGTGCTCTCAGGTTAGTCAATGCTGTAGCAGCACTCACATCATTACTGGAGTTCCCATTGCAGTATTCCTGGAATCAGGATACAATAATAAGGAAATCCAGGAATCCTGGGATATCTGAAAAATCAGGGAACTTTGGGAAAGTTACCAGGATTTTGCAACGCTAACTGCAGTGCACATCTTGTATTTTAGTAAGGTTATATGAAAAGCCTAAACATTATATTATGCACTGTGTAAATGCTGTCTCCTTCCTCATTCCAGTATTCAGGAGTTTGTTAAAGGTTGTGGGAACGTTACTAAGCGTTTGGTTGACGGGCTCCTGGATAAAATGACTGCAGGGGATCACTCCAAGGCTGTCTTCCAGATCAGACAGGTTGGTACCCCACTTACACACTCATACAGGCTGAACCCCAAATGGCACCCTATTCTCTATATAGGGCTCTACCTTTGACCAGGGCCGTGGCACCGTGTGGGTGCCATCTGGGGGACACAGTCACACATATGACTTCCAAAAGCACAGTAAGTCCTGTTTTAGAGGGGGACATGTGTATTTGCAGATAGATTTTTTAATTTCTGGTAAAAGCTGTGTGAATGTACATTATGTTAATGTGGTTGTAATATGTCATCTTCTGTTTCAGAAAAGAAACATGACGTTACCTGACGAAACCAAGAGCAACATTTACGATATGCATGTAAAGTATTTTACAGCTGTTCAACTGAATACGCTTACAGTGGTTTAGTTTAGTGGTTGGAGTAAAATGATGTGTGTGTGTGTGTGTGTGTGTGTGTGTGTGTGTGTGTGTGTGTGTGTGTGTGTTGTGTGTGTGTGTGTGTGTGTGTGTGTCCGTCCCGTCCCCGTCCCCGTCCTGCTTTCCCCACATTGTTGACCCTCCGGATGTGTTTATTTGCCCAGGTGGCTGATGGGACAGGTCTGGGAGAGGGCAGCTCAGTGCTGGACTTCATGTCCATGAAGAGCTACTCTGACATGTCTCTGGAGATGTCCATGCTCAACTCTTTAGGTGAGAATCCTACAGGTTGTCAATTAGTGGTATGGTTTCAATGATCATAACCTTCATCATCAATGTCAATGATCATAACCTTCACCCCCCCCCCCCACACACACACACACACACACACTTACACACACACTGTATGTATCGTAATATAGGCTTTATAGTTCATGATTCTTTACCATAGCCCTAAGGTAGTGCACTATATAGGAATAGGGTGCTGTTTGGGATGCAGACCCTGTCATCTTCATCACTTGTATGACTGTAATGGTCTTCCCTGTGTCCCTCCTCTCCTCTCAGGGAAGTCCGTGAAGAAGGAGCCGGAGCATGAGGACGGGGTCAGCCAGCAGCACTTTGAGGAGGCAGCCAAGCTGCTGCAGGAGTTCCAGGAGGGCCAGGTGGAAAGGGGAGGCTCCAGACCCTCCTCTAACCTCTCCTCCCTGTCAGGGACCTCAGACAGGGACCAGCACCACCTGGGTAAGGACCTCAGGACAACACTGTCTGGAGCTCATCCACTTACTTGGCTGTATCAGAGTGAGTCCCAAATGGCACCCTATTCCCTATATAGTGCACAAAAGTAGTGCACTATGCAGGGAATAGGGTGCCATTTGGGACGTAGCCAGGAGCTCCTCCACCTGCCTGGCTGAATCAGTGTTAGAAACATACAGGATTTGGTTTGTCCGTGCCATTTTGTACCTTGTTGACACTTACAGGCTCGCCCATCAGTCACTTAAAGCTATAAGGAAAGACGCTCTGGATAAGAGCTTCTGCCAAATGAATAAATATAATGTAAAATGTAATAAGGAGACATGGGTTTCAACGTTTCAAAGGCTTTATAGACACATTATTTATGTGCTTTGTTTGTTATTTTCAAATGAATGACCATTGGTGCTGTTTTTCTGTGTTCCTCCACAGGGAGTCCATCACACCTGGGTGTTGGTGACCGGTCTGAGATGGTTCATGACCCATATGAGTTCCTCCAGTCTCCAGAGCCAGGCTCCACAGCCAACAGCTGACCTATGAGTTCCTCCAGTCTCCAGGGCCAACAGCTGACCTATGAGTTCCTCCAGTCTCCAGGGCCAGGCTCCACAGCCAACAGCTGACCCACACACTGTCAAGTTGCCTCTAACTAGGGTTGTCACAATACCAGTATCACCATACTATGATACTCAACTTTCCAAGGCAAAAAAGGAAACATGAAACCGACTTAACTCTTTAAAAACCTGCTTTATCTAAAATATTGTTTTCTGTAGCTTGAAAAAAAACAAGCAAATGTGTCTCTGGGTGACATCACAATGCTGCCTGTTTGTGTCCAACATTAGGACTTCTGAGTATAGCGATACTGCTAGAGACACTACTAGGGAGTTGGTAGAAGATGACTCTAACCGCTGGTCTGGGGTCAGATAATGTTTGATCGTCATAATGGTTAAGGTTAGGGTCTGGGGTTGGGTAATCTGATCCTAGAAATGTGGCTTGGAGAAAACTTCTACCTGGAGCTGATCTGAAGCCCTGTTTTTAACCACCCTGGTTGTTTTATTGTCTGACTCTGTGCTCTCAACACACCGGGAATAATGAGAACGAACCTCAGACATGTTGTGAAAGCTCATCATGATTGTACAGATTATTTGTATGTGTGCTATACTTAGGAGAATAAAGTCGCCACAGGTTGTGTTTTTATATGGTACTATATCATTCATTAGTTTCTTTCAAATGTTTTGGGCACTGGGATTGATATGATACTGTGGAGTCTCAATAACTTATCCTTCCTGTGTGGATGGAACTTGTTTATCTATACTGAAGTCCATATCATACTTTTCAAGAGGGCAGATATTGGAACAGTATAAAAAAAAACAAGCTCAGGGACCATATGTATCAACCATCTCAGTGTAGGAGTGCTGATCTAGGATCAGACCCCCCCTTGTCCATGTAATCTTGTTCATTGTGATCTAAAAGGCTAAACTGATCCTACATCAGACTCTGAGACGCTTGATAAATACGGCCCCAGAAGTCTACCAACTTTCCTCCTTGTGAAGTCGTCCTCTCATAAAGGATGTTATCGCGCAGGTTGTATTGGTCCAGTGTTAAAAGGCCCCTGCGTTTACCTGCGTTTACATGGCTGGCCACTGTTAGTGAGAAAACACAATACCCCATAATGACAAAGCAAAAACAGGTTTTTAGAAATAATACATTTACATAAGAATTCAGACCCTTTACTCAGTACTTTGTTGAAGCACCTTTGGCAGCGATTACAGCCTTGAGTCTTCTTGGGTATGACGCTACAAGCTTGGCACACCTGTATTTGGGGAGTTTCTCCCATTCTTCTCTGCAGATCCTCTCAAGCTCTGTCAGGTTGGATGGGGAGCGTTGCTGCACAGCTATTTTCAGGTCTCTCCAGAGATGTTCGATCGGGTTCAAGTCCGGGCTCTGGCTGGGCCACTCAAGGACATTCAGAGACTTGTCCTGAAGCCACTGCGTTGTCTTGGCTGTGTGCTTAGGTTCGTTGTCCTGTTGGAAGGTGAATTTTCACCCCAATCTGAGGTCCTGAGCCTTCTGGAGCAGGTTTTCATCAAGGACCTCTCTGTACTTTGCCCCATTAATCTTTCCCTCGATCCTGACTAGTCCCCAGTCCCTACCGCTGAAAAACATCCCCACAGCATGATGCTGCCACCACCATGCTTCACCGTAGGGATGGTGCCAGGTTTCCTCCAGACGTGACGCTTGGCATTCAGGCCAAAGAGTTCAATCTTGGTTTCATCAGACCAGAGAATGTTGTTTCTCATGGTCTGACTCCTTTAGGTGCCTTTTGGCAAACTCCAAGGGGGCTGTCATGTGCTTTTTACTGAGGAGTGGCTTCCATCTGGCCACTACCATAAAGGCCTGATCGGTGGAGTGCTGCAGAAATGGTTGTCCTTCTGGAAGGTTCTCCCATCTCCACAGAGGAACTCTGGGGCTCAGTCAGAGTGACCATTGGGTTCTTGGTCACCTCCCTGACCAAGGCCCTTCTCCCCCGATTGCTCACTTTGGCCGGACAATGCCCCCATGCACCAATCGAGGTCCATACAGAAATGGTTTGTCGAGATCGGTGTGGAAGAACTTGACTGGCCTGCACAGAGCCCTTACCTCAACCCCATCGAACACCTTTGGGATGAATTGGAACGCCGACTGAGAGCCAGGCCTAATTGCCCAACATCAGTGCCCGACCTCACTAATGCTCTCGTGGCTGAATGGAGGCAAGTCCCTGCAGCAATGTTCCAACATCTAGTGGAAAGCCTTCCCAGAAGAGTGGAGGCAATTATAGCAGCAAAGGGGGGGACCAACTCCATATTATTACCCATGATTTTGGAATGAGATGTTCGACGAACAGGTGTCCACATACCTTTGGCCATGTAGTGTATGTTTTATGTCCCTCACAACAAGGAGTCTACATCAACTCTTTCATGGCAACTGAAGTTCAACTGGATAAAGTCTTTGTTTGCGTCCCAAATGGATGCAGATTACTTTAAAGTATGTGCAGGAGTCTGTTTAGAAAGCAGAAGTTTCATTGCCACAGTATTTCCTACCTGGTTTCAGTTCCCGTTATTCTGTGGAGGCTATAAAAGTATGTAACATAATAACTTTAAAGTAAATTCCTCCCAAAGAAACAAATCCTGGGAAGGAATCTCCCTAATTATGGCTACATGAAGTTGGATGCAATGCCAAGATTATAGGGTTAGAGTTCTAGGCTACAGACAGTTGAAGTCGTAAGTTTACATACACCTTAGCCAAATACATTTAAACTCAGTTTTTCACAATTCCTGACGTTTAATCCTAGTAAAATTCCCTGTCTTAGGTCAGTTAGGATCATTACTTTATTTTAAGAATGTGAAATGTCAGAATAATATTAGAGAGAATGATTTATTTCAGGTTTTATTTCTTTCATCGCATTCCCAGTGGGTCAGAAGTTTACATACACTCAGTTAGTGTTTGGTAGCATTGCCTTTAAATTGTTTAACTTGGGTCAAATGTTTCGGGTAGCCTTCCACAAGCTTCCCATAATAAGTTGGGTGAATTTTGGCCCATTCCTCCTGACAGAGCTGGTGTAACTGAGTCAGGTTTGTAGGCCTCCTTGCTCGCACACACTTTTTCAGTTCTGCCCACAAATGTTCTATAGGATTGAGGTCAGGGTTTTGTGATGGCAATACCTTGACTTTGTTGTCCTTAAGCCATTTTGCCACAACTTTGGAAGTATGCTTGCATATTGTCCATTTGGAAGACCCATTTGCGACCAAGCTTTAACTTCCTGACTGATGTCTTGAGATGTTGCTTCAACATATCCACATAATTTTCCTTCCTCATTATGCCATCTATTTTGTGAAGTGCACCAGTCCCTCCTGCAGCAAAGCACCCCCACAGCATGATGCTGCCACCCCCGTGCTTCAAGGTTGGGATGGTGTTCTTCTGCTTGCAAGCGACCCCCTTTTTCCTCCAAACATAACGATGGTCATTATGGCCAAACAGTTCTATTTTTGTTTCATCAGACCAGAGAACATTTCTCCAAAAAGTACAATCTTTGTCCCCATGTGCAGTTGCAAACCGTAGTCTGGCTCTTCTATGGCGGTTTTGGAGCAGTGGCTTCTTCTTTACTGAGCGGCCTTTCATGTTATGTCGCTATAGGACACATTTTGCTGTGAATATAGATACTTTTGTACCTGTTTCCTACAGCATCTTCACAAGGTCCTTTGCTGTTGTTCTGGGATTGATTTGCACTTTTCGCACCAAAGTACGTTAATCTCTAGAAGACAGAACGTGTCTCCTTCCTGAGTGGTATGACGGCTGCGTGGTCCCGTGGTGTTTATACTTGCGAACTATTGTTTGTACAGATGAACGTGGTACCTTCAGGCGTTTGGAAATTGCTCCCAAGGATGAACCAGACTTGTGGAGGTCTACAATGTTTTTTCTGAGGTCTTGGCTGATTTCTTTTGATTTTCCCATGATGTCAAGCAAAGAGGCACTGAGTTTGAAGGTAGGCCTTGAAATACATCCACAGGTACACCTCCAATTGATTAAAATTATGTAAATTAGCCTATCAGAAGCTTCTAAAGGCATGACATCATTTTCTGGAATTTTCCAAGCTGTTTAAAGGCACAGTCAACTTAGTGTATGTAAACTTCTGACCCACTGGAATTGTGATACAGTAAATTATAAGTGAAATAATCTATCTGTAAACAATTGTTGGAAAAATTACTTGTGTCATGCACAAAGTAGATGTCCTATCCGACTTGCCAAAACTATAGTTGTTAACAAGAAATTTGTGAAGTGGTTGAAAAACGAGTTTTAATGACTCCAACCTAAGTGTATGTAAACTTCCGACTTCAACTGTATGTTACACACATATTTCTTTTTTTATTGTAAAAAAATAAATATATATTGGTCTGCAAAGTGCTCAAAAACTGGTAAATTAAATGCATCCTTTCCGAGGGCGCTCTATAATGACCACGTACGGGGCATGCGCGTTTCTGCAAGGCCCGTTTCCATAGCAGTGGACGCACCGCAAGATAAATTCTCCAATTTATGATGACTGACTGACACCCGCAGTGCCAGTTCCTTTGATATGGATCTTGTTATGGACTTACATACGCTCAATTTTATATAGCCTAGTAGCCTTCCTAATTATTGCCTGATCGATTGATTCAGTGAACTTTTGCGTTTTGGCAAGAGACGGTAGTTGAGACAAAAGTCCGACTGATTGGGGGAAAGAAACAATTATGGGCAATCAAGACCGTGAATTCTGCTTCTTATTTTGAGCAAATATTTTTTTGGGGTCATCACAGTGTTTTTCTTTTATTGTACGCCATCCGACAAAATGTAAGTAATTTTCAAATAATTTTGAATAAACTTTAAAGATGTAAAAAGGTAAACTTCAATAGCATATTTTATGTTTTTTTATATATAATGTGTATCATCAGTGTATGTAGTTTATGTTTTTAGCTGTGCACGTTGGTGTTTTGGAAAATGTTTACATCTGATTATGGTGTTGATTGCTTGCGTTGTTGACTGTATGTGACTGACAGATGGAACATTCGCAGTTACAAACGTCCGGTTGGTGCAACATTTTTTTATGGCTTCTATATAGGAAAGCCAATTGACACACTATACATTTTCCTGTCTCGATTTATGTTTAAACTATTGTTGGAACTAAGGCTACGTTATTTGCCTATCAAAACAGTGTAATCGGCGAAACCATCCGATTGGCAGGAGCACAAATAAGAAGCTTGGGTCCTATTCATTAGTCCACACCGGAGCAAAACGTTTTACAACTGCAAACGAAAACGAGCGTTTCTTATTGGATACGTCCATACTAGTCTTTCCCAGTTTCAGTACATTTTCTTCCGTATGGCGCTTAATGAATACGCCACAGGGATTCGGCAACCGAATTTCAACCCTGTCAATGAACTCATGAGGCAAACAAGATCATACGCCCATGTCAATGCCAATGTGTGCCAAAATGAAGATGATGACAAAACGATTAGTTCTACAGCATCATAATTTTTCATGCACTAACATTCTGAATTTTGAGAATAAAGAGAATAGTCATTATGATTTTGACAGCTTAGTGGAGAAGGTAAGACGAGGGAGGGAAAATTATAAATCAGAAATAATGATAGAAACATAGTGGCATAGGAGGGGTTTGTCAGCGTAAATGTCATATAAATGGTTACGCTTTGATTGGGAAAGGTTAAACTGTTGTGACTGGCTGCCTGCTCAAAGCAATATCCTCCTTGTGAAACTGGTTTCTGTTTTTAAAAACCTGATCGTCCAGAGACAAGGAACCAAAACTGTCCAGAAGGGTTGGCTATTATAACCACAGTTGAACCACAATGCGTGGCTGTCCCAAATGGCACCCTATTCCTTATATAGTGCACTACTTTTGACTAGAGCCCTATGGGTCCTGTTCAAAAGTAGTGTAATATGTATAGAGAATAGGGTGCCATTTGGGACGTAAGGCCAGAGTGTTTGGTTATTATGTTGAACCACTATGGACACTGTGAGCTAAGCTGTTGATACAGGATGGATGTGGGGGATGGTAACAATGCCATCATGCTGCTCCAACTCAACTAATTTCCCTGGCAAATGTAACCGCAGCCTACCAGTGTGGCATCATGCATTCTAAAATAGATACAAAACATTCCTTTCACTTTTGGTGTGATGATGGAAGTGGGCAAGTTTTCCTTGGCCATTTGACATGAATAGGAAGAACTGGGTCCTAGTCATCGTAGTCTATAACCAGGGTCCTAGTCATCGTAGTCTATAACCAGGGTCCTAGTCATCATAGTCTATAACCAGGGTCCTAGTCCTCATAGTCTATAACCAGGGTCCTAGTCTTCATAGTCTATAACCAGGGTCCTAGTCATCATAGTTTCTAACCAGGATCCTAGTCATCATAGTCTATAACCAGGATCCTAGTCATCATAGTCTATAACCAGGGTCCTAGTCATCATAGTCTATAACCAGGATCCTAGTCATCATAGTTTATAACCAGGGTCCTAGTCATCATAGTTTATAACCAGGGTCCTAGTCATCATAGTTTATAACCAGGGTCCTAGTCATCATAGTTTATAACCAGGGTCCTAGTCATCATAGTCTATAACAAGGGTCCTAGTCCTCATAGTCTATAACCAGGATCCTAGTCATCATAGTTTATAACCAGGGTCCTAGTCATCATAGTTTATAACCAGGGTCCTAGTCATCATAGTCTATAACCAAGGTCCTAGTCATCATAGTCTATAACCAGGGTTCTTGTCGTCATAGTCTATAACCAGGGTCCTAGTCATCATAGTCTTTAACCAGGTTCCTAGTCATCATAGTCTATAACCAGGGTCCTAGTCATCGTAGTCTATAACCAGGGTCCTAGTCATCATAGTCTACAACCATGTTCCTGGTCATCATAGTCTATAACCAGGATCCTAGTCCTCATAGTCTATAACCAGGTTCCTAGTCCTCATAGTCTACAACCATGTTCCTAGTCATCATAGTCTATAACCAGGTCCCTAGTCATCATAGTCTATAACCAGGGTCCTAGTCATTGTAGTCTATAACCAGGATCCTAGTCATCATAGTCTGTAACCAGGGTCCTAGTCATCATAGTCTATAACCAGGATCCTAGTCATCATAGTCTATAACCAGGGTCTTAGTCATCATAGTCTATAACCAGGATCCTAGTCATCATAGTTTATAACCAGGGTCCTAGCCATCATAGTCTATAACCAGGGTCCTAGTCATCATAGTCTGTAACCAGGGTCGTAGTCTATAACCAGGTTCCTAGTCATCATAGTCTATTACCAGGGTCTAGTCTATAACCAGGTTCCTAGTCTATAACCAGAGCCCAGAGGTTTTCCTGGTCAGGTATTGCGGTCAGGAAAAATGCAAATGGCACCCTAGTCTCTAAATAGTGCACTACTTTTGATCAGCGCACAATGGGCCCTGGTGAAAAGTAGTGCACTGAATAGGGTGCCATTTGGGACATAGACTTTGTCCTATGTGTCGCTGTCTTCTGTGTTCCAGATGAGCTGTTTTGAGCGGGGGCTGAGGCGGACGGCCCCTGCACGCGGCAGCAGCAGGAATGAGCTGGTGACCCCCTCGACGGCATCTCTCTCCAGGGTTAACGGCTGGGCCTGTCCCCCTCACTCCTTCCAGCTGGTGGGATGGACAATATACAGCTACATGGCTGTAGTTGGCTTTGGGATCTATATCCCACTACTACCTTCACCCTGGAGCCACATGGCCTACTCTGTAACCTTTACTCAAGGAGTCAAGGACTCTTGGTCGAAAGCAGAGGTTGAAGAAGTTTCAAGCAGGCCTTGGTCAAATAAGCTCTGGGTCAAATACTTTCAAATATTTGAGTTGCACTCAAGTGACTTTACCTGGTACAAGTAGAACCACTTGATTTAGTTTTCCAGTTACAAGTAGAACCAATAGAATAGTCCCAAAAGTGCAAACTCTAAGTCAAGCTAAGTCATTCGCAAGTCAAATAAGTAAGTGTAAATATTTGACACAGGTGTTCAGGTCAGGATCAATTTCTGTGAGATGTCTTGCTTCTGTTTATTTGTTTCAGCTCTTGAAATATTTCTGCTTTGAGTGAAGAGCAAGACCTATAAATTGCACAGAAGGTTTTAGTGTTGCATTTCGTCCCAAATGGCACCCTATTCCCTACATACAGTTGAAGTCGGAAGTTTACATACACCTTAGCCAAATACATTTAAACTCAGTTTTTCACAATTCCTGACATTTAATCCTAGTAAAAATTCCCTGTCTTAGGTCAGTTAGGATCACCACTTTATTTTAAGAATGTGAAATGTCAGAATAATAGTAGAGAGAATTATTTTTTTCAGCTTTTATTTCTTTCATCACATTCCCAGTGGGTCAGAAGTTTACATACACTCAATTAGTATTTGGTAGCATTGCATTTAAATTGTTTAACTTGGGTCAAACTTTTCGGGTAGCCATCCACAAGCTTCCCACAATAAGTTGGGTGAATTTTGGCCCATTCCTCCTGACAGAGCTGGTGTAACTGAGTCAGGTTTGTAGGCCTCCTTGCTCGCACACGCCTTTTCAGTTCTGCCCACAAATGTTCTATAGGATTGAGGTCAGGGTTTTGTGATGGCCACTCCAATACCTTGACTTTGTTGTCCTTAAGCCATTTTGCCACAACTTTGGAAGTATGCTTGGGGTCATTGTCCATTTGGAAGACCTATTTGCAACCAAGCTTTAACTTCATGACTGATGTCTTGAGATGTTGCTTCAATTTATCCACATAATGTTCCTTCCTCATGATGCCATCTATTTTGTGAAGTGCACCAGTCCCTCCTGCAGCAAAGCACCCCCATAGCATGATGCTGCCACCCCTGTGTTTCATGGTTGGGATGGTGTTCTTCGGCTTGCAAGCCTTCCCCCTTTTTCCTCCAAACATAACGATGGTCATTATGGCCAAACAGTTCTATTTCTGTTTCATCAGAGCAGAGGACATTTCTCCAAAAAGTACGATCTTTGTCCCCATGTGCAATTGCAAACCGTAGTCTGGCTTTTTTTGGAGCAGTGGCTTTTTCCTTGCTGAGCGGCCTTTCAGGTTATGTCGATATAGGACTAGTTTTACTGTGAATATTGATACTTTTGTACCTGTTTCCTCCAGCATCTTCACAAGGTCCTTTGCTGTTGTTCTGGGATTGATTTGCACTTTTCGCACCAAAGTACGTTCATCACTAGGAGACAGAACACGTCTCCTTCCTGAGCGGTATGACGGCTGCGTGGTCCCATGGTGTTTACACTTGCGTACTGTTGTTTGTACAGATGAACGTGGTACCTTCAGGCATTTGGAAATTGCTCCCAAGGATGAACCAGACTTGTGGAGGTCTACATTTTTTTTTCTAAGGTCTTGGCTGATTTCTTTTCATTTTCCCATGATGTCAAGCAAAGAGGCACTGAGTTTGAAGGTAGGCCTTGAAATACATCCACAGGTACACCTCCAATTGACTCAAATTATGTCAATTAGCCTATCAGAAGCTTCTAAAGCCATGACATCATTTTCTGGAATTTTCCAAGCTGTTTAAAGGCACAGTCAATTTAGTATATGTAAACTTCTGATCCACTGGAATTGTGATACTGTGAATTATAAGTGAAATAATCTGTCTGTAAACAATTGTTGGAAAAATTATTTGTGTCATGCACAAAGTAGATGTCCTAACCGACTTGTCAAAACTATAGTTTGTTAACAAGACATTTGTGGAGTGGTTGAAAAACGAGTTTTAATGACTCCAACCTAAGTGTATGTAAACCTCCGACTTCAACTGTAGTACACAACCTTTGACCAAAAGTAGTGCACTATATAGGGAATTTTGGGACTTAGCCAAGGTTTTAGTGTTGCTCTATAGCTGTAATGTTGTTGTGGATAATGATAGTAGTGAGTCATCATCAGGTCAGATATGCTTCTTTATCACAATGTCTCATCCTCCCACTGACCGTTACAGACATAGTCTCATCCTCCCACTGACCTTTACAGACATAGTCTCATCCTCCCACTGACCGTTACAGACATAGTCTCATCCTCCCACTGACCTTTACAGACATAGTCTCATCCTCCCACTGACCTTTACAGACATAGTGGCATCCTCCCACTGACCTTTACAGACATAGTGGCATCCTCCCACTGACCTTTACAGACATAGTCTCATCCTCCCACTGACCCTTACAGACATAGTGGCATCCTCCCACTGACCTTTACAGACATAGTGGCATCCTCCCACTGACCCTTACAGACACAGTTGGCATCCTCCCACTGACCTTTACAGACAAAGTGGCATCCTCCCACTGGACCTTTACAGACAAGTGGCATCCTCCCACTGGACCTTTACAGACATAGTCTGGCAATCCTCCCACTGACCTTTACAGACATAGTCTCATCCTCCCACTGACTTTACAGACATAGTGGCATCCTCCCACTGACCTTTACAGACAAAGTGGCATCCTCCCACTGACCTTTACAGACAAGTGGCATCCTCCCACTGACCTTTACAGACATATGCCCTCCCCTGACCTTTACAGACATAGTCTCATCCTCCCACTGACCTTTACAGACATAGTGGCATCCTCCCACTGACCTTTACAGACATAGTGGCATCCTCCCACTGACCTTTACAGACATAGTCTCATCCTCCCACTGACCTTTACAGACATAGTGGCATCCTCCCACTGACCTTTACAGACATAGTGGCATCCCAAATGACACCCTATTCCCTATATAGTGCACTACTTTTAACCAGAGCCCTATATAGGGAATAGGGTGCCATTTGGGACAGAACCACTATCATCACTGCTCTTTTGTCTGATGTCAACTGCAGTATGATGTCAACTGCAGTATGATGTCAGCTGCAGTATGATGTGTACTGCAGTATGATGTTTAGCTGCTGTATGATGTCAGCTGCAGATGATGTCAGCTGCAGTACGATGTCAGCTGCAGTATGATGTCAGCTGCAGTATGATGTTTAGCTGCTGTATGATGTCAGCTGCAGTATGATGTCAGCTGCAGTATGATGTCAACTGCAGTATGATGTCAGCTGCAGTATGATGTTTAGCTGCTGTATGATGTCAGCTGCAGTATGATGTCAGCTGCAGTATGATGTCAACTGCAGTATGATGTTTAGCTGCTGTATGATGTCAGCTGCGTATGATTCACTGCGTATATTTAGCTGCAGTATGATTTCAGCTGCAGTAATCAGCTGCATGTTCAGCTGCAGTATGATTCAAGCAATGTCAGCTCAGTATGATGTCAACTGCAGTATGATTTAGCTCTGTATGATGTCAGCTGCAGTATGATATTAGCTGCAGTATGATGTCAGCTGCAGTATGATGTCAGCTGCAGTATGATATCAGATGCAGTATGATGTCAACTGCAGTATGATGTTTAGCTGCTGTATGATGTCAGCTGCAGTATGATGTCAGCTGCAGTACGATGTCAGCTGCAGTATGATGTCAACTGCAGTATGATGTCAGCTGCAGTATGATTTTCTAGCTGCGTAGATGTCACTGCAGTTAGAGTCAGCTGCAGTATGATTCACTGCAGTATGATGTTAGCTGCTGTATGATGTCAGCTGCAGTATGATGTCAGCTGCAGTATGATGTCAACTGCAGTATGATGTCAGCTGCAGTATGATATTTAGCTGCAGTATGATTTCAGCTGCAGTATGATTTCAGCTGCAGTTGTGTTCAGAGTGCAGCTAGTGATGAGAACAGAAAGGGTTGATTTATTCAGACTTGACACTCCTACTCCTCCTCACATAGAGAAGCTTTTGTGTACCGCGATGGTCACTGTAAGGTTTGTCAAAATGACATCTAGACTGAGAGTGGACACTTTACTTCATACACTGATACTGAATCAGATATTCAAGCTGGTTTGGATTCTACTATGGTTCATGGTGTGGCTATTTGATAAACTGTATCAATATTTCCCTTGTTAGTCCCTTGACCATCCCACTATGCAGCTAACTGGTACAGCCTTCATTGTGCACCTGGTCACCCATCTAGCTGCCGTGTCAATAAACCCAGCAGAGGCAGGCGTCCGAGCCAAGAAGAGCTACTCCAACCCACTGCCTGTCTTCGACAAGAAGAAACAACCACATGTTATCCACAACCTACACTGCTACCTGTGTAAAATCAATGTGTATGTATCTCACCCAAGTCTCTTAAAAAGGCCAATCTGGAATTGGTCAAATGTTTACATTCATTTTTGAACATTTAAAAAGTGGCGGGCGGCCGTTTTGTTCTGGTTTGAATTCAGGATTGTCCCTGTTGCATTATACTGTACATTGAGATACAATTATGTTTTTTCTCATTGAGGAAATTGCAACAAGGTTGATGTGGTTTCTCTGTCTTTCTCTAGGGACCCCAAAGTGAAACACTGTGGCGTGTGCAACAAGTGTATTGAAGACTTTGACCACCACTGTAAATGGCTGAACAACTGTGTGGGGGGACAGAACTACTGGTAAGAGGAAGCATGGGAGGATGGCCCATTTCAGTCGATGTTGACTACTAAGAGTTTGAGGAAATATTGTTTTGAATATCATTCCTTTAAATGTAGTTTATTTGGCTCTTTGTAGTCTAGACCAGGTTACTGTAAAGCACTTTGTGGCAAGGCTAAATCCAATACATTTGATTGAGATCAAAGCCAGATGTATTTCTATGGTTGTCCTCCTCAGGTACTTCTTTGTGACGGTGTTATCTGCTACGCTGGGCGTCCTCGTGCTCCTCATGGTCATCCTGTTCATCTTCATCCAGTATTATATGGACCCCGGCAGTCTCCGCACCGCACCGCAGTTTATCAGTGGTTCCGCACCACAGTTTACCAGTGAGTTGTGGTCTTCGGTGGTGTCAGGCTAGCCTAACTAGACTAGATCGAGAGGAGGCGATGCATGCAACTGGGTTCAATATGAGATAATCAGAGGGGTAATTGGATGATGATTTTGATCATCTATGTCAGGGATGGGCAACTGGCGGCCCACGGGCCACAAGGCCCTCTGGCTGGTCTTCCTGTCTGTCTGTAGGTGTGTTGAGTAACGGGACGTGGCTGGTCTTCCTGTCTGTCTGTAGGTGTGTTGAGTAACGGGACGTGGCTGGTCTTCCTGTCTGTCTGTAGGTGGGTTGAGTAACGGGACGTGGCTGGTCTTCCTGTCTGTCTGTAGGTGTGTTGAGTAACGGGACGTGGCTGGTCTTCCTGTCTGTCTGTAGGTGTGTTGAGTAACGGGACGTGGCTGGTCTTCCTGCCCCTGGTGCCCATGGAGACAAGCTCAGTCAGTCTCCTGGTTGTAGCCTTCCTCACGGTCATGTTGGCTACTGGCTCTCTGCTGCTGCTGGTTCACCTGCTGGGCTTCCACATCTATCTCTGTGAGTTACTAACTGGTCCAGGGGCTGTATGTATCAAGTGTCTCAGAGTAAAAGTGCTGATCTAAGATCAGGCCCCCCCCCCCCTGTCCATATAAGCGTATTCATTATGATCTGAAAGGCAAAATTGATCCTAGATCAGCAGTTCTATTCTGAGACTTTGTGAATACGGACCCAGACCTGGGTAAAATATTGTACGTATTATTTTGAATACCTTCCTTATACTAGCTTTTAGTTTGATTTAGTACAATGGAACCGATGGAATAGTGTATCTGTATGTTAGTTGGCATGACAACACTTTATTATTGTCTCTGAGGATGTTTCTCTTGCAGCATTCCAACAGTGAGTTGGCATGACAACACTTTATTATTGTCTCTGAGGATGTTTCTCTTGCAGCATTACAACAGTACACAAGGTCAACACAACAAGATGCTACATACAGAATGTCTTCCTTCCATTCAACTGTCTTCTCTTCCTCTGGTCTCTGCAGTGTTAAACAAAATAAGCACGTATGACTACATTATAACACGACGCCGTAAACAGGCCAGCAGCCAGGACATAGAGATGGGCTTTCCCCAGTCATCTGACAGCAATGGCAACGCAGGACAGGTCAGATCCTTTGTTTCACTGCTCCTCTCTGGCCTTGGTGAAATCCAACCAGGATTTCTGGAAAACCTGGGCATTTTGGCAAAGTTACTGGAATTTTGCAACCCTAATTCCAATAGTTGCATGCAAACTAGTTTCTTCAATCCCATAGCCATGAGTTTGGTACAAGAGAGACTACACAATCATGTATTCTCAGGATTGATTTGTTGATTTGATTGTTTTTTAGAATTATCCGCCAATGGAGCCCTCCATCGACTGTGATGCATCGTTGTCAGACGGTGTCAGGTAGGTAATTCCACTAGGAAACCATGATACCGATGCATGTGGTTATCATGTACAGTGTTGCAAGACACAAGTACTGGAAGGTTTCCTGCTATGCAGCTGGGAAATTGTAATCTTCCAAAGTGTAAAAGTTATCTCAAAGATAGACTTGTAGAGTAACACGTTATTGTAGTTATCTCAAATTTAGACTTGTAGAATAACACGTTATTGTAGTTATCTCAAATATAGACTTGTAGAATAACACGTTATTGTAGTTATCTCAAATATAGACTTGTAGAATAACACGTTATTGTAGTTATCTCAAATATAGACTTGTAGAATAACATGTTATTGTAGTTATCTCAAATATAGACTTGTAGAATAACACGTTATTGTAGTTATCTCAAATATAGACTTGTAGAATAACATGTTATTGTAGTTTTTAGATTTTACTTTTACCCCTTTTACTTCCCAATTTCGTGATATCCAATTGGTAGTTACAGTCTTGTCCCATTGCTGTAAATCCCCTACGGACTCGGGAGAGTCATGCGTCCTCTGAAACATGACCCTGCCAAGCCGCACTGCTTCTTGACACACTGCTCGCTTAACCCGAAAGCCAGCCGCACCAATGTGTCGGAGGAAACACCATCCAACTGGTGACCAAAGTCAGCTTGCTAGAGCGCGATGGGACAAGGAAATCCCAGCCGGCCAAACCCTCCCCTAACCCGGACGATGCTGGGCCAATTGTACGTCGCCTCATGGGTCTCCCAGTCACGGCCGGCTGTGACAGCCTGGGATCGAACCCCGGGCTGTAGTGACGCCTCAAGCACTCCACCACTCGGGAGGCCCTTATTGTAGTTATCTCAAAGATAGATTTGTATAATAACACATTATTGTGCATGGCACCTCTTCTTTTGCGTGTTGTAGCTGCAAGAATCAGGAAACAGGAACTATTTCAAGTCAACTCTCTGGATCTTTCTGTACTGAGGTCAGTTACCCTAACCAAATTGAAAGTTATCACTAAACTACTTTTGTCATCATATTCTAAAAAATATTTTGGGTATTGTCTGTATAATATAATAATATAATATAATATGCCATGAAGGTCTTTTGTTTCAGAACTATTAGTTAGGACCATTTGCAAGAAAACATTGTCATAATAAAATAAGTAAATATGTTCTTGTTCTAGTTGGACAACTTTACTAAATCATCAGAAAAGGAAAATGGCTTTTACTATGGCACAGAGCTACCCACCCAGATTATACCAGGTGAGTTTACCCACCCAGATTATAACAGGAGAGTTTATCGCCCCACCCAGATTTACCAGGTGAGTTTACCACACCATATTATACAAGGAGAGTTTACACACCCAGATTATACCAGGAGAGTTACCCGCCCAGGTTAGACCAGGGAGTTTAACACCCACCCAGATTAATAACCAGGAGAGTTACCCACCCAGATAGACCAGTGAGTTTAACCCACACAGATTATATTAGACTCAGGTGAGTATACCGCCACGCAGTATTATACCAGGTGAGTTTACCCACCCAGATTATACCAGGTGAGTTTACCCACCCAGATTATACCAGGTGAGTTTACCAACCCAGATTATACCAGGAGAGTTTACCCACCCAGATTATACCAGGTGAGTATAACCACCCAGATTATACCAGGTGAGTTTACCCATCCGGATTATACCAGGTGAGTATACCCACCCAGATTATACCAGGTGAGTTTACCCACCCAGATTATACCAGGAGAGTTTACCCACCCAGATTATACCAGGTGAGTTTACCAACCCAGATTATACCAGGTGAGTTTACCCATCCGGATTATACCAGGTGAGTTTACCCACCCAGATTATACCAGGTGAGTTTACCCACCCAGATTATACCAGGTGAGTATAACCACCCAGATTATACCAGGTGAGTTTACCCATCCGGATTATACCAGGTGAGTATACCCACCCAGATTATACCAGGTGAGTTTACCCACCCAGATTATACCAGGAGAGTTTACCCACCCAGATTATACCAGGTGAGTTTACCCACCCAGATTATACCAGGAGAGTTTACCCACCCAGATTATACCAGGTGAGTTTACCAACCCAGATTATACCAGGTGAGTTTACCCATCCGGATTATACCAGGTGAGTTTACCCACCCAGGTTAGACCAGGGGAGTTTACCCACCCAGATTATACCAGGAGAGTTTACCCACCCAGATTAGACCAGGTGAGTATACCCACCCTGGTTAGACCAGGGGAGTTTACCCACCCAGATTATACCAGGAGGAGTGTTTACCCACCCAGATTATACCAGGTGAGTATAGCAACCCAGATAATACCAGGGAGTTTACCCACCCAGATTATACCAGGTGAGTTTGGGCAGACATTTTAAATTCAGCAGGAACTTTTTTAAATGCCTACGCTGTATTTAGGTCTCTGGGTCTTTCCTATTTACCAGAGCTGCGTCCCAAATGGCACCTTATTCCCTATTTAGTTCACTACCTTTGACCAGGACCAAGTGGATAAGGGTCATGATCAAAAGTAGTGCACTGCATAGGGAATAAGGTGCCATTTGGGACACAGCCCGAGGTGATTATCAGTGTAACTAATTCCAATCTGCTGGTTTTCCTCACTGAAATGTTTTAAATGTTCTGTCTGGAAGGTGAAGTGGTGATGGACGACCCCTTGGGCTGGAGGTCGGGTGGAGGCGGAGAGGGCCTCAGAGCAGGCCAGTGTGAGGGGGTCTGTGCACGGGGTCTGGGTCCCCTGCGCTGACAGAGCTCATCAGTAGCTGGTCTCTGATGCTCTACAGGGGCCACACACAGTACCTGAGGAACTAAAGACATTGACACACCATAACGAACGTTGGCCGTGTGCAGTACAGTAGATCACCTACTGGATGTTGACTAACTGTGGTCGATACAACATGTCAAATCTTTGGGAAATGAAAAAAAAATGACTGTCGATGTTGTTTGGTCAGAAGCCATCGAATCGGCCACCGGCAGCAGTATCTACCTTGGGGAACGAATAGAGAATGTTCATGCTGGATTGAAATCACCATGATGCCTCCAACGGACCTCCTGTTGTTGCCTATGAGGATCACCACTTGGATCTGGAAATGAAACTTTGGATTCCCGAGCTTCTAAAATGCATCATGGAATGTTATGAAATGGGCTAGTGAATAGAACACATTGGAATGCAACCTGGATTCCTATGGAAGAGGACAGACAATGGGATTTCTCACATATTGACTGCGAGGGGTGACATTGGCTTTTTCATAATATGCAATGGGCTATTTTAATAGGATATTTAGACTGAATGATGGGAAGGACATTATTTATTTTGTAGCAATTTTATATATTTTATCTGATCACATTTTTTAAGGAATTGTTTTACCTATGTTTATTTGTTAATTTAGCAATTTCAAAATCATAAAGTTCTTGCCTGAATGTAATAATAAAATGTGTAAACATACTGTACAAACTCCTGAGTTAAATAATGTTCCATTCCCAGGTTAACCACACGGTGGTGCTATTGAGACTAATCGAACTACAATAAATCGAATTAATGTATACCCTATGTATATGTATGTATATCCAGGCAATGGAGTGATGGAGCATTTGTCATTCCTGAGAAACATTTGCTAATTCTTCTGTCCTGGAGCTGTACCTCAGTTAGTGTCTTGCATCATCCATGAGTGCTGTACAGTGGTGGCTGGTGGCACTTTAAATGGGGAGGACAGGGATCATAGTAATGGCTGGAATGGAATGAATGTATTTTGTTAGATGCCATTCCGTTCACTCCATCCCAGCCATTATTATGAGGCGTCCTCCTCTCACCAGCCTCCTCTGGTGCTGTTTCAGCACCAGCCTGCCTGGTCCCCAGTGGACAGTGCATTATATAATCTCCAGTTCTCCATGTTAAATCATTACCACTGGTTGTATAACCCATTTAAAGAGGTCAATGCCATGAGTGGACATCAGATCAGAGAATTAAGGCCCTGAATAAGGCTCAAACCATACATTGACATCAAATTACCCACAAAGGTTAGATAGGGGCAGTGACACAATTACAGATACTTTGAATTTCAAGTGCATGTGCATTACTAGCAGAACTGTTCACGTTGAAGGAAGGAGAGGGTTCTGTCCTCATCTCTATCGTTTTAGGGAAGATCTTATTTCGCTAGAGAGAATGCATCCCAAATGACACCTTATGCAAGCCCTGGTCAAAAGTAGTGCACTAAAGGGAATAGGGTGTAATTTGGGATGCAAGCATCCTCTACTGTATCTTTGAGGGAAATCTTATTTCCCTAGAGAGAGAATCCCATGGGCCGTGTGTTGACCAGCGACTCAAGACATCCTGTACTCGGACTAGAGCCAGGTTGCATTTCCTGGAAACTATTCTGATTTGTTTTTCTTTTCTACTCTTTTTATATACATACCATGGCCTTTGGTCCTTGGACCTCAGTGATGTGCTACTGCTTTCTCACTCTGCCTGTACTGGCTCTTTCTCATGGAAAACATTTCACTCAGAATATTTATTCTGAAGTATTACATTTTTGGATGGGAGTACAATTGATTGAATAGCAGCACCTAATACAAATGAATGTACAATCACCTCACTGGCTGGTCTAACCTTTGATAGATGGTTTAGAAGTGCTCCGAATACTCCATACTGCAAAAGAGCACGACAGAACATAGATTCCCACGGAACGGAAGGAATTCCCTTAACCTTTTATGGATAAAACAAAATAACGTTCTCCATTGCCCATCACCTTCATGAGAATACTGTGATGTTTACACGAGTGGTAGGAGTGCTGCAGCCAATCAGTGGCCTGAATTTCTACCCCTCATTTCTTTCGCGGAGGCGAACAGCAGGCAGGCATTTGAGATCCAATGTAGCGAGAGAGTATAATGTTGCCAACGATCCTCGAGGTGCAGTTATGATTTTGTGGAATTGACAACGAATAACAGTGGATTGGAGAAGGATTGAGATATCAGGTAAATGTGTTATTTACAGATGTGGTTAAATGTATTTTGGCAAAATAACTGCTATTGATGTTGACAGTTTATTTGTTTTGGTGTGCGTTTATTTTGAAACTGACATATAGTTCGGTTCAATGCGATTTTTTAAATATGCAAATTGGTAGCTACAAATATACATGTATTTCTATATTTCATTGCACACTAAATTATGTTGCGCATTATATGCAGGAAGTCGCTTGATTGTCAAATATGCTTTAGTTTTTCCCTCATTTGAACGAACTGGTCTTTTACGCCGTTTGGTTCTAGAATTATGCATTGCATAATGGTGTATCGTTTACTGAATTGTAGACGCTGTCAATAGTGTATACGCATATTCGATGTATTGCCAGGTATTGCGTTATGCACTGGCAAGTGGCAATAGAAGAGTTGCGACTGCAGCCTGTGCATGGTCACAATAACAATGGTCACGTGCCACGGTGGACTATTCCAGAGACCACTACTTGAGCATGAATCTCTGCACATTGGCAAGTTTATGTAACCAGTCTCGCGCAGGAAACATGCTCATACTGCATTATCCAACTTCAGTACTGTCAACTTAAACGAACCATAGCATAGCCTATATCGTTTGGTCTCCCGACGTTTGACATGTATTGTTACCTTCTCCCTTGTAGGACATAGCTACTACCTCTACCAAGAGGTCGGGTCCTTTATGGCATAGGAGATCCTCTTGAAACTGTAGGGCAGATCCTTTGTATCAAACCCTGCTCTGGCTTCTAATGCATGATTGTTACATAATATAGCCTAGTCAGCCTAGAAGGGAAAATAGTTGAAGGAAGCCTTTTGGAATGATAATATTCTCATACAAACTACCCTAAGAATGCATGAAGCCCATTTACCCAGTTGTTCTCCTCCTTGTGTATTCTGTTTCTGTATTCTTTAGGAGCATGTCGATTCTATTGCATCAAAGATTATACCAATATCTTGGCGCATGTCGATTCTATTGCATCAAAGGTTCGACCAATATCTTGGCGCATGTCGATTCTATTGCATCAAAGATTCGACCTATATCTTGGCGCATGTCGATTCTATTGCATCAAAGATTCAACCTATATCTTGGCGCATGTCGATTCTATTGCATCAAAGGTTCGACCAATATCTTGGCGCATGTCGATTCTATTGCATCAAAGATTCAACCAATATCTTGGCGCATGTCGATTCTATTGCATCAAAGGTTCGACCAATATCTTGGCGCATGTCGATTCTATTGCATCAAAGATTCTACCAATATCTTGGCGCATGTCGATTCTATTGCATCAAAGATTCTACCAATATCTTGGCGCATGTCGATTCTATTGCATCAAAGATTATACCAATATCTTGGCGCATGTCGATTCTATTGCATCAAAGATTCTACCTATATCTTGGCGCATGTCGATTCTATTGCATCAAAGATTCGACCTATATCTTGGCGCATGTCGATTCTATTGCATCAAAGATTCGACCTATATCTTGGCGCATGTCGATTCTATTGCATCAAAGATTCGACCTATATCTTGGCGCATGTCGATTCTATTGCATCAAAGATTCTACCAATATCTTGGCGCATGTCGATTCTATTGCATCAAAGATTATACCAATATCTTGGCGCATGTCGATTCTATTGCATCAAAGATTCTACCAATATCTTGGCGCATGTCGATTCTATTGCATCAAAGATTATACCAATATCTTGGCGCATGTCGATTCTATTGCATCAAAGATTCTACCTATATCTTGGCGCATGTCGATTCTATTGCATCAAAGATTCGACCTATATCTTGGCGCATGTCGATTCTATTGCATCAAAGATTCAACCAATATCTTGGCGCATGTCGATTCTATTGCATCAAAGATTCAACCTATATCTTGGCGCATGTCGATTCTATTGCATCAAAGATTATACCAATATCTTGGCGCATGTCGATTCTATTGCATCAAAGATTCAACCAATATCTTGTAACATCATGATGACATGGTACTGTGGCTGATGATATGGTCATGTATGTTGATGGAAATGACAGATGCTTGGCAGGCAACACTACATGTGTTGGGCCTAAATGCAGTATCTAGTGTTTCACAGTCAGAGAGGATTTGCCAATCAGTCTTTGCTTGTCTCCAACTCAAGCAGTATATAAGTAAAGCAGTACTGTAATTCAAACGTAGACCTAATTGAAAACGTAGGTCAGATTTTACAAATAAATGGCCCAGTATTTTGTTCACAGCACTTCTGCTTTACGTGTGCGTTAGCCTTGTTTATCCCCATATGTTGTATTAGGTACGCATGAGGAGCGAATGCAGTCATTCACTGACTTTGCCCCAGATTTCTCTCTTGGCTCATGTTGCAGTGCACTCTGGTCCGAGAGTCACTGGATCCTGTCATAAACAATTACCCTCACAGGGTAAATTAGTATATTTTGTTGTTCAGTTAGTTCATATTCAGGACAGGGTGGTTATGAAAGGTTATGTTTTTGGAGAAATAAAACCACATTGTGAAAGTGCGTTGTCTGCATGGTCAGTGAAAAAGCCAAAGGGGTTCTCTGATTGGGAGCCATATTTAAACTGTCTGTTTTTCACTTTGTGTTTGTGGGTTTTTGTTCCGTGTTGGTCATTGTTACCAAGGACGTTACGAGTCGTTTGTTGTTTTGTTTCGTGCTTTATTAAATAAAGTAACATGTTCGTTCATCACGCTGCGCATTGGTCTACTTCTCTCCCTGACGATCGTGACAAATCCGACCAAGTAAGCATGCTCTCTCTTATCTTTCACCCCTATCCAACATGAAAAAACTCCCCACTCTTTTCCCCACAAAAATTTAAAAAAGGTCAAAGAAATTCAGCTCTTGTAGTCCTCTCAAATCATTCAGGTAATTGTTGGTGTCAATGATGATGAATAATTAGAGGACACTGTCTGTATCTAATCAGCCCGCTGCATTTTGAAATGTTTTTAAACGTTTATTTTTTATTTTTATGTTAAACTTTGCCTCTCCCAGCCGAGTGATATCAATGGAAAATGTGGTTACGGTTTCCACAATTGACTGGTGTGATCTAGTAATCTAGCTACTTTTGACCAGAGCCCATGTAGTGTACTACATAGGGAATAGGGTACCATTTGAGCCACAGCCCAGGCCTCTCTCCATGTGAGAGGGGACAGACAGGACCACTGCTGCTCTCATTGGGATCATTCATCCATCGGGGTTGCATAAGGATCCTCTCTTTCATTACTCTGCCTTGTATCTTTATATGGCTTATTGTTATGACCACAATAAGGACTGAGCAGAGATAGCGTAACATATTGTTTCTGAAGCACAATACATTCGTGCCTGACACCGGAGAGGGGATGGAGGGAGGGAGGGATGGTGGGAGGGAGGGAGGGTGGGAAGGAGAGGAAGGCTAACATACAGTACACACTCCAGCCCAGAGAGAGAGAGAGAGAGAGAGAGAGAGAGAGAGAGAGAGAGAGAGGAGAGAGAGAGAGAGAGAGAGAGAGAGAGAGGAAAAACTCTAGTAATGGGGGAAGAAATCGATACAGTTACATTTCGTAATATTATTTTTAGACAATATTATATTGATATTTGACTCCAAGTATCTATTTGTAAAAAATATATACTTTTTTTTGCTACTGTAGGTAGCATTAGCTAGCGCTAGTTGGCTGTACCTGCACCAAAACTCCAGTATTTTTCCTTCATAGCTTGTTGTCCATCTTCTTCTTAAATAGTGAGCCAACATGTTTTCATCACTTTTATTTCCATGACTGATCAAAACTCATTTTCTCATGGCTCTCTCTTGTCTCTCTGCAGCAGACATATGGTGAGAAATATGTTTGGAACATCAAATCGCAGTATAGAATCCCGATACGTATGTAATCATGAAAACGCAATACAAATCGTATCAGCACCTAAGTATGGTGATAATATCGTATTGTGAGGTCCCTGGCAATTCCCAGGCCTAACAAACTGCAGCAAGAGACACAGACAGACAACGGTGAGTGACTTCAGACCCATGGGGCAGTAGGGTGATGATGTAATGCACTCTGGGATAGATGGATGGATGGAGGGGAGGGGGGGTTACTGTGGACTCTGAGAGCTGCCTGCAACAGGGCTCTATAGTGCCGCCATTTTACTCGCATATGCAGCTAAATATTTTGCTGTGCGACCTGGAATTTTAACTTAGGAGCACCATTGCGCCTAGAAAAATGAAGGATTCTAGCTTTATTACCTCAAATATTTTTCATTGTGCTCCTAAATGTCTTTGTGTGCGCATACATTTTTCAACTTAAGAGCACACATGCTCAACGTAGAGCCCTGTGCAAGACTGGGTAACTAAGAGGGACACCATGGCAGACTGACTACCTGGACGTGGTAGAGAGGTTTACACAGGGAAGAGTTGTTGTCTGATTGGTGGACTCAGGTCAGTGGTTAGTGGTACAATGGTGGTTAAATGGCGGACTGGGACTCTGGGTGTTGGTGCTCTAGTGAAGACTGACAGACTCAGGATAGTGTCTTTTAGCCTTCTGTCAATGTAGCCTGGGCCCAGATATATGTTGCTTTATGTATGGGTTTGGCCATGCTAGTTAGAGCTGGGACCAGAATACTACATTATGATCTGGGATCTGGCTACCACATAATGATCTGGGACCAGGCTACCACATTATGATCTGGGACCAGGCTACCACATTATGATCTGGGAACAGGCTACCACATTATGATCTGGGACCAGGCTACCACATAATGATCTGGGAGCAGGCTACCACATAATGATCCGGGACCAGGCTACCACATTATGATCTGGGACCAGGCTACCACATTATGATGTGGGATCAGGCTACCACATTATGATCTGGGACCAGGCTACCACATTATGATCTGGGACCAGGCTACCACATTATGATCTGGGACCAGGCTACCACATTATGATCTGGGACCAGGCTACCACATTATGATCTGGGACCAGGCTACCACATTATGACTAGGGGTGATGGTGGTATAGTGACAGAGTAGGTGTAGAACTGGGTAGACTAGGGGTCATGGGGGCATTCTAGCACACACTCTGTTCTGATTGGCTGACAAGGCTGGCTGGGACTGATCTAGATGGAGAGCAGATTGGTTCACCACGGCATGCCCAGTCAGGGAGTGACACACAAACAGAAACATGCGCGCAGGCACTCATACGCATGCTTGAATGAACGAACACACGGGTTCGCGCTCACACACAAGCATGTACTCACGTTGCACAGCTCACACACACTCACTCACGCTCTCACACACACACCTCAAGTTGTTAAGTGTGTGGTATTCTCATAATGTTTACGATTGGCTGTGTCTGCTTATTGTCCTCTGCTGACACTTCCCCCCCTCTTATGAACAGATAGAATGTTCTTACCATGGCGTGTTGTGTTGCTATTAATAACAGAGTTCAAAATGGGCCAATTTATATGGTAAAGCACACATCTGTAAGCAGCAACGCATGACCAGAAGGCGAGTATATGTAAGCATGCGGTCATCCAGTCACAGATTTGTCTCTTGAGATCTGGACTCAACCAAATGGCTTTTTTCCTTTGTAGTTGTCTACAAATATGGGACAGCAAACGATACTACAGACTATCTGGCCAATGTGTCAGTATGGACTATACTCCATACTGTTGGGGGTTGTTATGCCTAGTGTCTGGTTAATGCCACGGTAATTAACCTTTCATATGCTGTAAATTAAATCCTCTATTAGATCCAAGCCACATTTCATTTCTGACAGTTCTAATGTATGTAATATATTCTTCACTGTAATCCAATCATCAATAATATGATCATCCGATCATAACATGTTTACTAAAATGTAAGGTAAAATACTAATATCTTGAATAATATATTCTGTATTCACAGCCATGGACTAAATGAGACTTAAAGCTGCAATATGTAACTTTTTGGGTGAGCCGACCAAATTCACGTAGAAATGTGTGTTATAGATATGTCGTGCGCATTGAAAGCAAGTCTAAGGAGCTGTAGATTTGTTCTATGTGAGCTATTTCTTTGCTTCCCATTCTTAACTTTCATTTTTGCGTCTTTTACTTTCGGTTTTGTACACCAGCTTCAAACAACTGAAAATACAATATTTTTGGTCATTGAGAAGATATTTCACAGCGGTTTAGATGGTACAATGATTCCCTACACTGTACATTGCTTGTTTTGAAATGAGGTGAGCTATTAGAATTTTAGCAACCAGGAAATGGCGGAGTGATTTCTGCATATTGCACCTTAAAAATAGACACAATGCAGGGAAAAATGACCCACGTAAAAGTACCAAAATACTTTCTCTGCTTATATTTTACACACCATCCAGTCTTAATTGTTAACATGAGGGTTTTGTAGACTAAATTAACTCTTTGGGTGTTTCCCAAATGAAACCGTAGTCCCTATAAAGTGCACTACTTTAGACCAGAGCCGTATAAGTAGTGCACTATATAGGGAATAGAGTGTCAATTAGGATGCAACCCCTCTCACTAGCCTCTCTATTAGCCTTAGTCTTGAACGTGATGGGTTTTTTAGGAGACTGTGGCTGTATAGGAGACTGTGGCTGTATAGGAGACTGTGGCCGTATAGGAGACTGTTGCCGTATAGGAGACTGTGGCCGTATAGGAGACTGTGGCTGTATAGGAGACTGTGGCTGTATAGGAGACTGTGGCTGTATAGGAGACTGTGGCTGTATAGGAGACTGTGGCTGTATAGGAGACTGTGGCTGTATAGGAGACTGTGGCTGTATAGGAGACTGTGGCCGTATAGGAGACTGTGGCCGTATAGGAGACTGTGGCCGTATAGGAGACTGTGGCCGTATAGGAGACTGTGGCTGTATAGGAGACTGGCTGTATAGGAGACTGTGGATGTATAGGAGACTGTGGCTGTATAGGAGACTGTGGCTGTATAGGAGACTGTGGCTGTATAGGAGACTGTGGCTGTATAGGAGACCGTGGCTGTATAGGAGACCGTGGCCGTATAGGAGACTGTGGATGTATAGGAGACTGTGGCTGTATAGGAGACTGTGGCTGTATAGGAGACTGTGGCTGTATAGGAGACTGTGGCTGTATAGGAGACTGTGGCTGTATAGGAGACTGTGGCTGTATAGGAGACTGTGGCTGTATAGGAGACTGTGGCTGTATAGGAGACTGTGGCACTTGAACACTTGAGACTTCACTGACTATAAAACAAGAGAGTGAAAAGAGTCCTTTGTTCTAGATCGATTTTACTCGTCAGGGCACAAAGAGCGCCACAGAGCACTCTATCGTAGGGACGAGGGTGTCACAGTAAATAAACAGCCTTCCCCAAACACAACTATGTACACAGAGGGAAGCCAAGTCTGTCTGTACATGTAGATGGTTCGAGAGGAAGTGGAGTGAATTTGCTGGGAAAGTCTTGTGTGGCAGGATGCAAGCTGAAACAAGATTGTGTGAAAGTTTCACACGGATCATCCAAGCTCCTGTACCAATAGCTGCTGTAAGTGTTGTGACATTGATCATATCACTGTTTTTATTCATTTGTGGAAGAGGGAAGCTGTTAAACTATTTATGTGTACTCTATAATACAGTTCTTTGTTTATTCCTGAAGTTGGGAGTTCAGTAGTTGAATGGTCGGCCAAGGGGTAACTGTTTAATGGCTTCAAGGGTAACTGTTTAAATACTTACCAAGTTAGAGCTATAACAGTTAACTAAACAACCCTGCATGCGTCCCAAATGGCACCCTATTCCCTATGTAGTACACTACTTTTGACCAGAGCCCTATGGACCCTGGTCAAAACAAAGTAATGCACCATATAGGGAATAGGGTGACATTTGGGACATAGCCTATGTTTGTTTTGGCCAGAGTCCTGGATGACCCATACCACCGCCCCAACCCCCGTAACACCAATGGTAGCACTCAGCGACGTCATCCACCATGTGTGGATGTGTGAAGAGACGGCCATGGGACTCAGAGCCAGACAGAGCTGTCACAGTGCTGTCACAATGGCTACCCAGTGTCCCCCGTTCTCAATGACATTATTGATAGACATTAATAATTGCTTGTTTTCCCTGTAAGAATGGACCCTGCAAAACATAATGCCCTTACACAGGGTCCATCTAGGGTTTTTCAGTATTTAGAGTTAATTTATGTGGTTGATTGTAGCTGTCTTGTAAACAAAACCCCTTCTTTGCCACCCATGGTGCCGTGTCACCCGTGTAGTACTGAAGGGGGCTGGGGGTGCATTGAATGACAGCAACTATCCACTCTTCACGCTCTATATTTGAGTGACAGTTGAAATCAGTTGGAGAAGAAATTTAACATTTAAATGTTATGAAATATAAAAGTTCTCTGTCTGTATTCCGGACCTCTAGATACTGCTCTCTGGGAGCAGTCAGAACTGACAAGCTGCGTGTGTGGGGGGGGGGGACTTTGTTGGGGTGTACTTTGCCATGGCAAAATGGGTCCTGCGAGGCTGCTGAGTGGTTACTGTAGTTCACCATGGGAACGACTTGGTGAGCACAGTTCTTATTTACTTCAGTGGTACAACATTATCAGGAAGTCATCAGTATCTTCCAATAACACGGCTTTGTTGAAAATCTGATATCTGTCATTGGTTACTCTTTCAAATCTACCTTAGGTATTTCAATGAGACTTGTAACATGGAATCGTTTTAGTAAAATACCTGTGTGTGTCTTAGTCAATTTATTAATGCAGATGTGATCCAGGAATCAAAGGAAATGTCTTTGTGACGTGGTTAGCTAAATGCCGCTTGTCTTGCTGTGATGATGCCAATGATGTGTTTAAAGAGGAATCCTGCTCCTCAGACTGACTGAAAGCATCTGGAGAGAGAGTCTGTGTCCCAAATGGTCCCAAATGGCACCCTGTTCTATATAGAGCATTACTTTAGACCAGAGCCCTGGTCAAAAGTAGTACACTAATTAGGGAATAGGGTGTCATTTGGGACACAAGCAGAGAATGATTGTTGTAAAACAAGCCCTTAACAGGAGAGGGGCTCGGCTACAGCCAGACTTTAAAAAGGAAGGCAGTCAGGTTTTATCAGTTGGATTGAAGAAATGAGAAACGTGAGGTAAGAGCTGTGGCAGGACATAAGGTTGTTATCTATTAGGGTCTTAACTAGAACATATGATGTTGTCTCTGAACAATACAGTATGTATTTGTTTTAAATCTAAACTATAAGTATTTAGGTTAAACTATAAGGTGTTATTCGTATTGCCATGCTATTACTAGTTTAGTGCTTTGGATTTGGTGCCAAGTACATAATGAAACATGTTGACTTACGTTCCAAATGGCACCCTATTCCCTATGTAGTGCACTACTTTTGACCAGAGCCCTATGGGTAAGTAGTGTCATATATAGCGAATAGGGTGCCATTTGGGATGCAATTGTTATCACTGGATGAGTCATAAATATCTTGACAGTAGAAGGAGGGTGATTTAATAAGCCTGAAGGCCTCACACGGTGAAAGTGGGAGCACCCATAGTTCCGCACTTTGCACTTTGCTTTCAGACTTTGAAGAACAATGGGCTGTCACTTTTTCCACTTTCATTCTTGTCCACACACACACATACATACACACACACACATACACACACACACACACACACACACACACACACACACACACACACACACACACACACACACACACACACACAGAGAAATAGAAAGAGTGAAACTGAACATCACAGTCACAATGTTCATTGAATCTTTTCCACAGCACAAAGAAACTAAGAGAATCACCTACTCCAAGCAGTGTAGAGGGGGAAACCAACTACAGCAGCGCCATGGCTGACCCAATCAAGCTGGCTGACCCAAAGCTGGCTGAACTAAGGTAAGTAGTCACGGATGTCTCTGAATATGCTGTTGTATCAACATAAATTCTCAACATTTCTTAAATCAGTCTGCCTCTCTCTAAACTGTTCTATGACCTCACGCGCAAAGTAAAACACAGCGGTTTGAAACAGTAGAAATACTGCCAGTGTGTGTGCACGTGAAAGCGCGTGTGTGTGTGTGTGCGTGCGTGTGTGTGTCTGCCGGCCTGCCTGACTGTGCGTCTGCTCTCCTGGCACTACCATGGCTCTGCTCTTGAATTCCAGAGATAATAACGTCACCTCTGTGCCAGAACACTTACGACATCTGCCCATTCACAGTCATCCTGGGCCAGGCAACACACCACTGACAACTAGCTAAGCTAAAGATCTGGCTCCAGCCTCCAACTAGCACACTAAGCTAACTTGCGGTGAGAGAGAGAACCAGATCCAAAGCAACAAGCTGATCCTTGGGTTAGAGACAGTGCTTTTTCACAGGGGAACAAGAGGACCCAAGTCATCCACTACAGCTGTCTATACAGCTGCCCTAACATCATCCCCAGGCTAAGCCTGTGTCCAAAATGGGACCCTGTTCCCTACATAGTGCATTTACCAGGGTCTGATGAACAAGATTACAGCTGCTCCTACAGTCATCTCCTAAACCTACAGTCATCTCCTAAACCTACAGTCATCTCCTTAACCTACAGTCATCTCCTTAACCTACAGTCAGGATCACAACATGATGCAGCAGAGATGAGAATTCCCCTTTTCTGCCCCAGAGCTGTTATTATGTCCCACTCCACCTGTACTAACACAGTGGTTTAAAACAGCAGACACAGAGCTGTTATTATGTCCCACTCCACCTGTACTAACACAGTGGTTTAAAACAGGAGACACAGAGCTGTTATTATGTCCCACTCCACCTGTCCTAACACAGTGGTTTAAAACAGGAGACACAGAGCTGTTATTATGTCCCACTCCACCTGTACTAACACAGTGGTTTAAAACAGGAGACACAGAGCTGTTATTATGTCCCACTCCACCTGTACTAACACAGTGGTTTAAAACAGCAGACACAGAGCTGTTATTATGTCCCACTCCACCTGTACTAACACAGTGGTTTAAAACAGGAGACACAGAGCTGTTATTATGTCCCACTCCACCTGTACTAACACAGTGGTTTAAAACAGCAGACACAGAGCTGTTATTATGTCCCACTCCACCTGTACTAACACAGTGGTTTAAAACAGGAGACACAGAGCTGTTATTAGGTCCCACTCCACATGTACTAACACAGTGGTTTAAAACAGGAGACACAGAGCTGTTATTAGGTCCCACTCCACCTGTACTAACACAGTGGTTTAAAACAGGAGACACAGAGCTGTTATTAGGTCCCACTCCACCTGTACTAACACAGTGGTTTAAAACAGGAGACACAGAGCTGTTATTAGGTCCCACTCCACCTGTACTAACACTGTGGTTTAAAACAGGAGACACAGAGCTGTTATTATGTCCCACTCCACCTGTCCTAACACAGTGGTTTAAAACAGGAGACACAGAGCTGTTATTAGGTCCCACTCCACCTGTACTAACACAGTGGTTTAAAACAGGAGACACAGAGCTGTTATTAGGTCCCACTCCACCTGTACTAACACAGTGGTTTAAAACAGGAGACACAGAGCTGTTATTAGGTCCCACTCCACCTGTACTAACACAGTGGTTTAAAACAGGAGACACAGAGCTGTTATTAGGTACCACTCCACCTGTACTAACACAGTGGTTTAAAACAGGAGACACAGAGCTAATATTATGTCCCACATACTTAACTCATGTACAGTATGTCAATCTGTTTGACATAGACAGGAAGACCAACCTTCTTGTCTCTTCAGCTAATAATGTCTTTCTCTTTCCTCCTCCTCAGAGACAGTATGGCAGATTTTAAAGTGCAGACGGCCAAGCACCCCAACCCTCCAATCTCCTCCACTCCCCTGCGGCCGCCCAGCGAACAGCAGTCCAAGGACCGGGCCTCCAAGAGGCTTTCCTCCGAGTCCAACGGCACCAGCGAGGGTGGGGCAGGGTCGCGGACGCCCGTGGAGATAACCGCACTGGAGGAGTCGTTCCGGCGGTTCGCCATCCACGGCGACACACGCGCAACAGGAAAGGACATGCATGGCAAGAACTGGTCCAAGCTGTGCAAGGACTGCGGTGTCATCGACGGAAAAACTGTCACTCTCACGGACGTGGATATCGTCTTCACTAAAGTCAAGTAAGGAAAGCTTTTCTAGTAGGTTCTGTCCCAAATGGCGTAGTAGAAATCTTGCAGGCCAAATGGCACTCCATTCCCTAAATAGTGCACTACTTTTGACCAGAGCCTTATGGGCACTGGTCAAAAGTAGTGCACTTGGAAGGGATTAGGGTGCCATTTGAAACGCAGACTACTACTGTGAACTCTGACTTGTCCTTATTGGGGAGAGGAGCGGAGAGGAGGAGAGAGGAAGAGAGAGGAGAGGAGGAGAGAGGAGAGGAGAGGAGAGGAGAGGAGAGGAGAGAGAGGAGAGGAGAGGAGAGGGAGGAGGAGAGGAGAGGGGAGGAGAGGAGAGGAGAGGAAGGAGAGGATTGAGGAGAGAGGGAGAGGAGGGAGAGGAGAGAGAGGAGAGATGAGGAGAGGAGGAGCGGAGAGGAGAGGGTAGAGGAGAGAGTTTTTCTCTTGGTAGAGGAAGGGGAGAGAGGAGGAGAGAAGGGGGAGAGGAGAGGAGGAGGGAGAGGAGGAGAGGGAGAGAGCTAGCGAGAGGAGAGAGGAGGAGAGGTTAGAGGAGAGAGTAGAGCGGTAGGGAGAGAGGAGGAGAGGGTAGAAGGCGTTATCATCCTTTCTGTTTCGTTCATCCTCCTTGTAATGGTGAACTGCATTTCGTTGAATCAACTGTTGTCTCAGTATAAAGGGATGTCTGGTAGAGCTCCAGTAGTAGGATCCTCCTGTTATATACACTGCTCAAAAAAATAAAGGGAACACTTAAACAACACAATGTAACTCCAAGTCAATCACACTTCTGTGAAATCAAACTGTCCACTTAGGAAGCAACACTGATTGACAATAAATTTCACATGCTGTTGTGCAAATGGAATAGACAACAGGTGGAAATTATAGGCAATTAGCAAGACACCCCCAATAAAGAAGTGGTTCTGATCTGGCTGATGTTTTGGTCACTTTTGAATGCTGGCGGTGCTTTCACTCTAGTGGTAGCATGAGACGGAGTCTACAACCCACACAAGTGGCTCAGGTAGTGCAGCTCATCCAGGATGGCACATCAATGCGAGCTGTGGCAAGAAGGTTTGCTGTGTCTGTCAGCGTAGTGTCCAGAGCATGGAGGCGCTACCAGGAGACAGGCCAGTACATCAGGAGACGTGGAGGAGGCCGTTGGAAGGCAACAACCCAGCAGCAGGACTGCTACCTCCGCCTTTGTGCAAGGAGGAGCAGGAGGAGCACTGCCAGAGCCCTGCAAAATGACCTCCAGCAGGCCACAAATGTGCATGTGTCTGCTCAAACGGTCAGAAACAGACTCCATGAGGGTGGTATGAGGGCCCGACGTCCACAGGTGGGGGTTGTGGTTACAGCCCAACACCGTGCAGGACGTTTGGCATTTGCCAGAGAACACCAAGATTGGCAAATTCGCCACTGGCGCCCTGTGCTCTTCACAGATGAAAGCAGGTTCACACTGAGCACATGTGACAGACGTGACAGAGTCTGGAGACGCCGTGGGAGAACGTTCTGCTGCCTGCAACATCCTCCAGCATGACCGGTTTGGCGGTGGGTCAGTCATGGTGTGGGGGTGGCATTTCTTTGGGGGGCCTCCATGTGCTCGCCAGAGGTAGCCTGACTGCCATTAGGTACCGAGATGAGATCCTCAGACCCCTTGTGAGACCATATGCTGGTGCAGTTGGCCCTGGGTTCCTCCTAATGCAAGACAATGCTAGACCTCATGTGGCTGGAGTGTGTCAGCAGTTCCTGCAAGAGGAAGGCATTGATGCTATGGACTGGCCCGCCCGTTCCCCAGACCTGAATCCAATTGAGCACATCTGGGACATCATGTCTCGCTCCATCCACCAATGCCACGTTGCACCACAGACTGTCCAGGAGTTGGCGGATGCTTTAGTCCAGGTCTGGGAGGAGATCCCTCAGGAGACCATCCGCCACCTCATCAGGAGCATGCCCAGGCGTTGTAGGGAGGTCATACAGGCACGTGGAGGCCACACACACTACTGAGCCTCATTTTGACTTGTTTTAAGGACATTACATCAAAGTTGGATCAGCCTGTAGTGTGGTTTTCCACTTTAATTTTGAGGGTGACTCCAAATCCAGACCTCCATGGGTTGATAAATTTGATTTCCATTGATCATTTTTGTGGGATTTTGTTGTCAGCACATTCAGCTATGTAAAGAAAATAGTATTTAATAAGATTTATTTCATTCATTCAGATCTAGGATGTGTTATTTTAGTGTTCCCTTTATTTTTTTGAGCAGTGTAATAGTTATGTAAAGCAGACAGATACAGAGAGCTAGTAGCATGGATGGTTTGACCTGGGACTGTTTTCAAATGGGAAAAAGGATGCCAGTATCTAGATCAAGCTCAATTACAATTTGCTGATAGATGGACTTGGAATTTGAATTACACATACTAACAACTGCTTCACGCCAATATGACATGTCAGTGTTTATTGATATAAAATTAGCAGCATTGGGACAGATAGATATGACATTCATAGGTAGGTTCTGTATCCATAGGATACTATCCTACATTTCTATATTATATTCATGGGACTTTCTTTCCTTTTATACAGCATATTAATAGAAAACAGTATTTCATATGGTATTCCATAATTTGGAATGGAATACCATATGAAATACTGTTTTCTATGAATATGCTGTATAAAAGGAAAGAAAGTCTCACTCTATATAGGCTCCCAACAGTTGAATGGGAAAACCTAACAAGCAACATTAAACTTTCAGCAACACAGGGTCCTAAGAATATACTGACATTCTATCTGAAAGATATATTCTAGAATCCAGATCCACATGCAGTAACATTCATAGAATTAGAATGAATAGAACAGGAACTCCCATTCAGGTCGGGAGGTTTCAATCCCTTCTACTCATTCTGTTACTATGGTAATATTCCATCAGCTCTCCCCATGCTATTTCATCCTGTGGGGGGTTGTTGCCCTCAGTAACAGTCATGTTGTGGGGGGTTGTTGCCCTCAGTAACAGTCATGTTGTGGGGGGTTGTTACCCTCAGTAACAGTCATGTTGTGGAGGGTTGTTGCCCTCAGTAACAGTCATGTTGTGGGGGTTGTTGCCCTCAGTAACAGTCATGTTGTGGGGGGTTGTTGCCCTCAGTAACAGTCATGTTGTGGGGGGTTGTTGCCCTCAGTAACAGTCATGTTGTGGGGTGTTGTTGCCCTCAGTAACAGTCATGTTGTGGGGGGTTGTTGCCCTCAGTAACAGTCATGTTGTGGGGGGTTGTTGCCCCTCAGTAACAGTCATGTTGTGGGTGTTGTTTGCCCTCAGTAACAGTCATGTTGTGGGGGGTTGTTGCCCTCAGTAACAGTCATGTTGTGGGGGGTTGTTGCCCTCAGTAACAGTCATGTTATGGTGGGGTTGTTACCCTCAGTAACAGTCATGTTGTGGTGGGTTGTTACCCTCAGTAACAGTCATGTTGGGGGGGTTGTTGCCCTCAGTAACAGTAATGTTGTGGTGGGTTGTTACCCTCAGTAACACTTATGTTGTGGAGGGTTGTTACCCTCAGTAACAGTCATGTTGTGGGGGGTTGTTGCCCTCAGTAACAGTCATGTTGTGGGGGGTTGTTGCCCTCAGTAACAGTCATGTTGTGGGGGGTTGTTGCCCGCAGTAACAGTCATGTTCTGTGGGGTTGTTACCCTCAGTAACAGTCATTTGTGTGGGTTGTTACCCTCAGTAACATCATGTTGTGGGGGCTGTGTACCCTCAGTACAGTCATGTTTGTGGGGGGGTTGTTTGCTCTCAGTACAGTCATTTTTGTGGGTTGTTGCCCCTCGTCAGAGTCCATGTTGTGTGGGGTTGTTGCCCTCAGTAACAGTCTTTGGTGGGGGGGTTGTTACCCTCAGTAACGTCATGTTGTGGGTGGTTTGTTACCCTCAGTAACCGTCATGTTGTGGTGGGTTGTTACCCTCAGTACAGTCTGTTTGGGTGGGTTTTTTACCCTCAGTAACAGTAATGTTTGGTGGAGGGTTGTTACCCTCAGTAACAGTCCTGTTTTGTGGGTGGGTTTGTTACCCTCAAGTACAGTCATGTTTGTGGGGGTTGTTGCCTCAGTAACATTCATGTTCTGTGGGGTTTTGTTACCCTCGTAACAGTCATGTTTGGTGGTTGTTACCCTAAGTACATCAGTTGGTTGGGGGCTGGTACCCTCATAACAGTCATGTTGTGGGGTTGTTTGCTCTCAATACAGTCATGTTTGTGGGTTGGTTGTTGCCCTCAGTAAACATTCATTTTTGTGGAGGGTTGGTTACCCTCATTAACATTCCACTTTTTGGGGTGTTGCTGCCTCAGTAACATCATGTTGTGGGGGTTGTTACCTCAGTACAGTCATGTTGTGGGGGTGTTACCCTCAGTAACATTCATGTTTGTGGAGGGGTTGCTTGCCCTCAGTAACAGTCAGTTGTGGTGGGGTTGTTACCCTCAGTAGACAGTCCGTGTTGTGGGGGGTTGTTACCCTCAGTAACATTCATTTTGTGAGGGTTTTTACCCTCAGTAACCGTCTGGTTTGTGGGGGGTTTGTACCCTCAGTAACAGTCATGTTGTGGGTTGTTTTTCCCTCAGTACATCTGTTGTGGGGGTTGTTGTCCCCCCCCGGGGGTAATTGAACCCTCAGTAACAGTCATGTTGTGGGGGGGTTGTTACCCTCAGTAACAGTCATGTTGTGGGGGGTTGTTGCCCTCAGTAACAGTCATGTTGTGGTGGGTTGTTGCCCTCAGAAACAGTCATGTTGTGGAGGGTTGTTACCCTCAGTAACAGTCATGTTGTGGGGTGTTGCTGCCCTCAGTAACAGTCATGTTGTGGGGTGTTGTTACCCTCAGTAACAGTCATGTTGTGGGGGGTTAGTTACCCTCAGTAACAGTCATGTTGTGGAGGGTTGCTGCCCTCAGTAACAGTCATGTTGTGGTGGGTTGTTACCCTCAGTAACAGTCGTGTTGTGGGGGGTTGTTACCCTCAGTAACAGTCATTTTGTGGA